AACACAGCTTTTGCCAAAGCTTGTACCTCAAACCGGGCCCACCTGTGCTGTAGCTTCAAAGTGGAAATGGTTGCCTGCATTGCTGGTGAGAGCAGGTGGCTACAGCTGAGGGGAGGAGGAAAAGGCTCAAAAAAGCCCCGAGAACAGCCAATGCCTCAGATCACACATAGTCACGCTGACAGAACAGGTCTGATGTTCATTGGAAGTGTTGCACTGACTAAAACTAGATCATACTTTGTGAATTCCTTCTCCTGTTTCCCCTCACACCACAGACTGACCCCACATCAGAGCAAAGAACACAGAGCTCACTGTAAAGTTTACATGCTTATGCCTGGTCTGTGGTGAAAATGACTTTTAGCCCATCAAGATTATATCAATCATGTGTCTGTGTGAGCCCTTTTCTGTCTCATTTTAAGCATCTGTGTTGATATAAAAGTAGATAAATGTGAGATGAAGAAAAAGGAGGGACGCTCCTGAGCGGTAGGGCGTCAGCTCTCAGTCAGCCGTGAGTGCATGTGTTTGAAACCACTGCATTTCCCATCATGCTTTTGAGCTTTGTTGTCCATGAAGGTGGGTGAAGGCAGCTGCAGTTGCCTTTTTTCACCTCCACCCACTTTGCAAAGACTTGGAGCTACATTGATCTCACAATATTATCAATGCCTATGTAGCAGTGCAGCAGCCGCTTGCTCATCTTAAACACACCTATTATGACATCACACATGGAACACAAGCTCATACAGCATGACTGATGCAGGTGTTCTTCTGAGCCCCTCTTTATTGCAGTGGGGAAAATGTTAAATTTTTATTTCCCTTTTCAGGTTACCAAACCTTTTCCAAAGCCCTGACCTTTAGCCTAAATTGTCTGTTCCTAACCCTAACCTCAGCCCTGATTGTGAATATTGTTTTAAACCTCTGCCCACATTGTTTGTGTTGTGAAACAATAGAAGGAAATCAGGGGGCTTAGAACTTCCTGAACACCGGTACTGATATTTTAGAATCCAGAGCAGCCCTGCCCATGTTTTTGGGCTGATGTATAAGACTGATTTTGATTATTTTCCCCATTTGAAGTGACTTAAATCACTATGTCTTTATGTCTATACTGTGCACTACACAAAAATAATTTCATCAAACAATATCTCTGCTCGTGGTAACCTCTACCATACTTGCAGGCATAATTGCCACTTAATGATTAAATGATTATTGATTACTCTCAGACCATAGACTGTATATATAAATAACTATACATAAATAACTTGCTAGTCGCCGTGTTTTAAATAGGAAGTTCGCATCTGGCTCTTCTGGCTACTATCGCATCGACTTACATAGGAACATTGTGGCCTCTCTCTGGAAGTTTTTTTTTTTTTTTCCAATATTTTGTCTGTAAAAAAAAAAAATCCTATTCATAATATGTAGCCAAATTCGCCCTTATACCTGAGAGAGTCATGACCTTCATTTGAGCGGAGCTGAACACAGTGGATGACATCACTCTCACTAGTCCACTTCTTTCTCCAGTCTCTGTCTCAGATGTGGTCTGGCATTGTATTTTCTTAAGAAATATCTAAAATTCACAAACATCGAATCTGATCATTTCAATCAGTGACTAGACCGTAGACGTGTTCTACTGTTGCACCAAATAGCAGTTCAATTCATTAATTTGCACTGCCTGCATCTGTATTAACTATTGATGAATGTTGTGATGTCAGTTTGGTTTGAAGATTGTAGTCACCCATCAAAGTCTAAGAAACAACATTTCAACTCAAATGAAAACAATTTGTACATATAGCAGTAGTTTGTGGTACCAGCATAACTCTAACTGAATCCCTCCTTTTGAGCAGGTGGCTGTAGATTCCAAGACCAACGAGATGGAGCAGCGTGTGGAGCCTCACAACGATTACTTCAGCACTCAATTCCTGTTGAACTTTTCTGTCCTGGGCACACACGCCGTCACCGTGGAGGCGTCTGTGGTGGACCAGGGCGGCACAGAGTGGAAGACCGGCCCCAGGACCAGCCTCTGTGTCAAGTCCCTGGAAGACCCCTACTCCCAACAGCTCCGGCTGCAGCTACAGCAGGGACCCCAGACACAGGCACCGAGAGGAGGGCATTTCCCACGCTTCTAGACTGCAGCTCCCACACCTGGCTGCTCTATTTGTATATGATTCTGCTTTTTTATTAAAACTGAACTGACTGCATTCTGGATATTTTTAGTTTTATTTTATTTCTGTCTGTTTTGCTGCTGGCTACAATGGTTTCTACCTTGTGGATCTGAATAAGTAGGGTGGCAAAGGCACAGGAAAGGTATCTGATGTAAAACACAGTAATGTAACAGGTTACAATTAAATTCAGTAATTAGATTACAGTTACTTGCTCTAGTAACTTTTTGTTACCTTTCCCAGCCAAAAATGCATATAATCCATACAGCTGTGTCATAAAACAGTAAAAACATTAACAGGAGCACAGAGTTCTCTTCTGGTGTCAGACACTTTTCAGCTGTGAGCAAAAACAAGACAAATATTGTTTTATGGAGGACTGTGGTGTTGCATCTATGCAAAATGAGGTTCCATAACAGAATGTGTCATTAAGTTGATCAATTCATATTTTTTATAATTGTATGTTCCCCTTTTCTTCAAAGTGACTTGTAGTAATCTATAATCAAATTACTTTTGAAATAAAGCAAGCAGAGTAGTAATTTCATTACTTTTGACTCCCAAAATGCAAATATTTGATTTGATCATATGCTGCTGTATTAAACAAGCACTTCTTCATGGTCCTTGTACAGTCAGACCGAGGCACATTTCTTATTGATCAATGTGTTGTTCCTTCTGTCTGATCAGGCTGCAATAGCGCAGTTTGCCCAGCAGGGGACGACACACACCAAATGATATCACTGGAGAGGACAAAATGTGAAATCAGCGCTCCAAGAATTAGTCCTTTTATTTGTGCTCTTGTCCTTAGTCATTTCTAAATTTCATAGTAGTAGTAAATACAAGGAAATAACCAAGGTGCACAAAATAGTTTAATATCCGAGATCCCCTTCAGGTGTAAACTGGAGCAAACAATATATAGACCTGTAAGTGCTAACACGGATACAAATCTCACTAAAACCCTGCCTGTGGGTGATATTATTCTTCGCACTTTCCGTCAAGCAACAATCAAGAGTTTTGTAAAAGAGGAGACATTAAAAACAACTCTTCCAAATTCACTTTTCAAAATAAAAGCCTGCCATTAGCGTCCACATGAAGCTGTTTTGGCGTTGTAAAAACCCAACTATTTGTTTGCTTGTTGTTGTAGTTTTTTTTTTTTTTTTTTTTTTTTTTTTTTTTTTGATGAAGTTTATAATTTTACTTTCTGGTTGGACACAGGCAACACTGATTTCATTTGAAGTAATTTCATGAAGTTACCTAGCAACCATAATGTTAACAAGGGCCAAAACGGGTCTAGGTTGCACAATATGATTAGAGTAATATGCCTTCCTTGTGCATAAATCTTCTCTGCAGTTTGGATGGAATTTTCAGTACTGATGACATTCTGAGATTCTCTGTTACAACTCACCCAGTTCTTGGCCTACTAGGCCTACTTATCTTCTCATTTTTTTCCCCCACAAACTGTCTCTTAGCTGATGTAAAATTATGATATTCACCATCTCCCTAAACCACGTAATAATTAGTTAAAAGTGTCTATGACAGGCTGGACTCAAGGCTAGACTTAAGTTCATTATATTTAAGATTTAGCTGAAAATGTATTTTTATTTTTTATTTTTTACTTTTACTTAATGGTTGAAAATCATGACATCACACATGGTAGTAATTCTACTTAGCAACCATCAAAACCACTTGGGCAAATCTCCTCTAATGCCACAGAGATTATTGTTTTATGTAAAAAAAAAAAAAAAACAACAAAAAACTGTCACTTACATTTACAGCAGGTGTTAGCTCACGATAAACAAAAGTCAAAATCAGAGAATCATCTAAACTTTAATGATGAAAAGCTGTCATATGCACATTAACAGTGCAGAATGTGTGAGTGTGGGGGAGCTGGTCGGCTGATTATTGCATGCACTTTACTGAGTGCATTCATCACAAATGTGTACACTGCATTGATTTGCTTTGTATGCTTTATCGGGTTTTAATCAAGTCAAAGGAGACAGGAAATGCCCTTTGTTGGCATTTTTCCCCCTATGTTCTAATGTAGTTTCCTGATCACAAACAGACCTGGAGTTGTGTTTTGTTTCATTCACACGTTTAACACACAAACCCTTGTGATGCTATGCGGTAATACAGGAAGTGCTCCACTTCACTGGAATTATCTGGATGATTTCAGATAAAAGGAGCTGATAATGTGAACACTGCCACTACATGACATCACGACATGGAATAGAGCATTTTGAGCTTTGGAGATATTTATAAGATTTATAAAGGGTTACCAAAACGTGTGAAATATGTTATTATTATTATTATTATTATTATTATTATTATTATTATTATTACCATAGCAGACTGTATTGATACTTGACATCACGATCATCACGATGCTGTACATGGATTTCTGTGGTGGGATGTTAAGCAGTTACCATGGTGATACAACGCACACATTAGCAAACACTGTCAAAAAGAAAAAAAAAAAGTTTTTAAAATAGCATCACACCCCCAGAAATGTTGAGGACATCAGCTGCACAGTATCAATATAAAATGTATTCATGTTTTTTTCTCAAACTGTGGTACCTCTTCGGGCGGTTCTCTGTTCTCAGTTTGTGCGGCTGGATCATTTAGAGTTCATGGTATTCACTTTTTGTCCTTGTTTGGATTAGATGGATTGGATGGAGATGATAGTAGTCCACTTTTAGATTTGGTTTATCCCTAGATTACACCTGGAAAAGTCCTGTTATAGATTTAGATCCGGTTGTACTCGGAAAATCAAATCTCGTCTTTGGCGGCACTTGGTGTGAAAAATACGAGCAGTTTTGACGCTTTTATTTTGAAGGCGCGCTCCTGCTTCCTCTTGTCTCTATGACGATGTCCCACTGTGAGACATAACGGGACCAAGCCGAGCAGCATCTGGGGACCAAAATCTCTGTCGTTCACGTTTCTCTGCGCCTCTCCTCGGTCCCGTTGCCCTCTCGCCCCGTCGGAGCCCCATACCCCGGCTCTGGCCCGCCACCGTCCGCTTTCGCCGTCTCGTCTCCCGCTACAACCGAACCACGATGGCGCTGGCGCTGCATCCGAGGAGGAGGATTTACCCCGGTGTCTGTGCCTGAGATGGGGACAGTGTCGCTGCTGTTGAAGCGGACTTGCTTGTTAGCCAGCTAGCGGGCTTCTCTCGCTGTATGGACGTGGCTCTACGGGGCTGACCGCTAATGGCCGTGGTTTTTATGGCACGGTTTGGCGCAGCGTTATCAGGCGTTTCCAACAGCAGCAGCGGCGTCTCCGTTTGATAGCGAACATGTCCAGTACTAGCTCATTTATTAACTAGAGCCTTCCAGGTTAGCTGTGCGTGAGACTCCATATCCGTGCGTCTCTGGCGTTCTACATTCGTGCTTGGATGATTCAGTGACATTTTCTTGGGTAAGTAACTTTAATTCGAGCGTAGTTTGACAGTCCTTGGGTAGGGCAGCACACTGGGCGCAAAACGCGGATATTGCGCTTTGTGGCAATCTCAATACACAATCAAGCCAGGCTAACATCTGCTCAGCCTTCCGGGAATATCTAGCCTCTTGTTTATGATCAGAATTATCACAGTCTATTGTTTTGTATAAGTTTCTCTTCGCTAATGTGTGCTCTCATTTTGCTAGCTCAGCGCTCGGCTAAACTAGCTCGGTCTGAGCACCAGTCTGGTCCTTTTATGGTACTGTCCTAGCGCGCTTCAGTCCCATCATGCTATCGCCAGCCTAACCACACGGGCATCCACGCTACAGCGCGGATCACGGCCGAAAACTTTCGCGAATTGGCCGAATACAGTGGCTTGTTGTCGGGTCGCCCATAGACTATAGCCCAAACAACAGTAAGGTTTGGATGGCACAGCTGTTGAACAAGTTGCAGCAGGCTTGGTATTTTCAGAGGAGGTACCAGGAAGGCCCTCATGTATTTGAATGGGGTTAAAGTTTACACTGTGCTCCCAAGTGCGTAAAAAAGAGCGCAGAGGGGGGCCAAAAGGTGGTAGGATGTGAGTTTGGAGTGAAGTGGCTCGTTTTAGTAGTTGCAGCTGTTTTTGTCACTTTTCCACTTAAAGCATTTGTCCAGAGTGACTCCCTTTTTTAAATTAGAATTCTTATAAAGAGTTGATATTAGGGCTGCACAATATGAGAAGAAGATGCAATATTCATGTATAACTATGTTTTGTATGGCACGTACAGTACTATTGTAAAAGGGGTTATACATAATGATCACAACCTTATGAACTTTATTAGTGAGGAGCAACATGGCGAGTAAAGACATTTTCATTCATAAGAGCTCAAAACCTATAACAACTGTGCCGAATATTAAGTTTGTACCTGGCATCTAAAACAAAGTGAACAGTTGGTGAAACCACAGACTACACACAAATTTATCACTGATACAGACGCTGGGATCACACACAATTGAGCTTAACCTTCCTCTTCTTTAAATAGCGTGTTTCTGAATCCATGTGTTGAGAAAATAATGAGTTTGGGGGAAAAACAACACCTCTGTGGACAAAAATTAGGCAATAAAAAGCAACACGTTTTGTCTGTTATGCTGCCCATAGTTCTGCCACTAAATGGGAATGTTGAGGAGAATCTTTCAAATAAAATGATATCAGCGTATGACCTCTCTTGGTCTGATGTCATCAACATTCCCTGGGGGTGTGATGCTAACTGTAGGCTGTGGTCTGTGTGAGGATTTATTGGCCTTTAATCTGTGCTTTACACAATCTGACCATAAAGAATTGATTTAAGTGGAACTACAACAGGAGAGCTGATTTGTGCTGCTAAGTCTCTCACAGATAGAATTACAGTCACAAGCTCTCTAGCATTATCCAGTTATATTTCAGTTAGTCACCTTTTTGTTGAAAATCAAACTCCTTAACAGGACCACGAATGCTTGTATTGACCAAAGGCTCCTGAAAATATGCTCTTCAAATCCATTTTCTGTTATTTCTTGAGTTTTCAGAAAGTCTTAAAACTTATCTGACAGTGTTTGCTAATGTGTGCTTTGTGTCGTCATTGTAACTTAAATATTCCACCATTAGAGATACATGTAGGACACCCCCAGCATGATGAGACTGCAAAGGGTCAGTATTGAACTTACTTTTTGGCCCAATAAATTCAGTTAAAGCTACAGTTAGCAAAAAAAAGTAAATAAATGCTTGTTTTGTTTTTTGTTTGTTTTTCATTTTGCTTCTGAATTAAAAGCAAAAAGTAAAAGCAGGCATCCTCTATGAGCAGGCTTGCATTTCCATAGACCAGACTCCTGTTTGACTTTCTTTGGCTATAATATTCTATATTATGGCATAAAACACATTTATCTCCTTTTGAGAATATTCTAATGTATGGTTTATTTCTTTGGACTCATGCAGTTGGCGCCACCTCCAGAAATAACCTGAGACTCAAAACCAAGGGCAAACAAGGAAAATAATGCAGAAAATGTTTTTTGTCCACTTTACTTTCAAAAATGATAAATGTATTGTAAAAATTCATATCTATCTTGTGCAGTCCTGTTGTGAAAAGGCTTGTTTTTTATGTGACCTCAACTTTATGGAACTTTTGTGTTGCTTGTTTAAAAATATTTTAATGTAAGAAATGTAAGCTGCTTTTAATCATTACTGAACAGGTCTGCCCATAATAACCCCAAGTAAGATATAACCCCCAAATCTTAATAGAGACAAGATGTAAACTTTACTTTATCTGCAACATGTGGCAAATGTCTACTGAGATTAGCCACTAAGATGCCGGGTCACTACTGGGGAAAAAAATAAAAACACACTACAGAGTAAGAATACTTGAATGAAAGCTAACTTTAGTATTTAGTATTTTAAACTACATATGGTTTTCAGGTTTTCAAGTTTTTTGTGATTGTTACTGTGTTTGGTAGTAGTACCTTTAAGTAAATGTTTGTCAAAGGATTTACAAACCAGTTAAGTAAGTCAAAAAGTTGAAGAAGAGTACAAAACTACAAGAAGTGGTGAGTTCTAAAACGCACTACCTCTGTGTCAAGCTGTGTTATCAGCAAAGAATGTTCCAATTGACACAATGAACACTTTTCTGACAATTTAAACCTTCATTTAACAAAATAAATGTGTTGTCATTTATTTGTATTAGTTTAATCTTAACTATTATTGACAGTTATGGCAGTTTTTACTTTATGATTGCTGTGCGTCATTTGAGCAAGTATCACAAAAAAATGTTTTACGTAGTGCATATGACCAGTTTGTGTACTTGTTCTCTATTGGTTTAACACTAGGCTAACTGAGAATTCTCGGAGATGTGATGACACGATCCTGGGCCACTTCTGGGTTAAAGGAGTCTCATGCCTCACCCTGGGCTGTGACTCCAGTTCTTCTTTCTCACTGCATTATGAAAGTTTAATGACTCAGTGTGTGATTTGGACTTTTATCTCAATAGCCCAACTGCGGACACGCTGCATTCCTTGTGTCCTCCTGAACATCATGTGTCGCTCATAAAACTACACTAAAACAAGCCAATAATTAACTCGCTGTGTCTCATGTGCCACTTAGCTCAGCTCTGATTTAGTTAATCTGTGGACAAGAGGGAACCACCTGAACTGAACCAATATTAGCTAGTAGGGATGGGCATGATTAGTCGATTAATCGATCATTGATCATTAAGAATTTCATTGATTATGTACATTTTAATCGACAAACCGATTGTAGGTTGCTGTGCGTAGTGTAGGGTGACCAAGCAGGGGTCTGTACATGTAGCTCTCTGCACTCAGAAGGAGCACAACACAAACAGTCGGTCAGCCTGCAACGTACTGAAGCACAAATGCGTACTTAACGACGACTTGTACAAGAAATTTCACGCTTTCCGTTTGGGACAAGTGTGAGGCCATGTGCACAGTTTACAAAGCAGCACATATGTTTCGGTGTCCAGTGGAATAAAGTTTTGCCAGGTGAGAGTCGCACAATGTTGATGACGAGTCCCCACCTCCCTCCCTCCGTACGGTGTCCTGGTTTTGACAAACGCAAATATGGTCACACTAACCTGTATTCCACTGAGTCGTGTCACATCAGTGCACAAGAGATGTTTTTTTCTTTGCTTAATTTATGCACATTATACATGTGGTTTTAAGTTTCGTTTCTGTGAGACTTGCACAAAGCTGCATTAAACACATTCTAATGTCAAACGGGCTGATGTGGCTCTAGAGTGGTTACGGTTTATATGTCGTAAAGTTGAATTTATTTATGCAGATTAGTAGTGCAGATAGTAATAATAATGATGATACATTTTAATATAAAAAACATTAATGATTAATCGATAATCGATCGTTAATTCTCCTGACGATTGATTACGAAAATTTAATCGAATGCCCATCCCTGCTAGCTAGCATCATTCGAGGTGTGAGGGACTTGCACATCAAGCACAAATCAGCTCACCTGTTGTTGTTCCAACTAAGTAAATTCTTTATGGCCAGATTGTGTTAGACTTTAATCAGAATTTTATTTTAATTTGCATAAAAGATCTTCAGGTAGAGTAGTACTTTCAGTCTGCATCGACATTCCTTGGGGGTGTGATGCAACATATCAATTCTAAAAGGCATATTTTAAAACGGATGGTAGGAGAAATCTATGATAACATTTAAACTCACAAAAGTTCTAGCTACCCAACTACTCAAAGTTTAATGAGCACTGCATTTTCTGGTTGAGGGTCCACCACCTGTAAAATAAAATTCTCTTTGTATCTGTTTTAGGGTCCATTTAGTCCAAATAATCCATTATCGATATGAACTATGATTATTTTTATTGTCTACTATTAGTCACAGTGAGTTTAGTATTTAGTATTAAAGGTTGCAGCCTAAACACTTTGTATTTGTGTATCATTGCAGTAAAGAGTGAATGTCTTATTGTGGAACGTTTCAGGCAAAGCAATACCAGTATAAAATGACATAGTGCACAGAGGTCAAGATGGGCCATCTTGACAAAAAAATGTTTCAACCTTTTCAGAATATCCCGATAACAATAGTCACATAATCAGTCAGTTGACATTTATGTAACTGTGTTAGCTGTCCCTGTGTACTGATGAATGAATGTCTGTGTAAATGGGTGAGTGGTTCATATAAATGTGACCATTTTATTGTAACATCTAAAAGTATTTCACAGTACGACATGAATGCTCCGTCTTCATAGTTGACATCACAATAGTAAATGCCACAGAACCATGCCCCCCCTCACCTCTCTCCTCTTCCCCCCACAGCGAGTATTTCCAGGATGGCTCAGCTCGGGGGCGGAGCTAGTGGACTGGCCAGGATCGTGCTCAGAGCTCTGCTGCGCTTTGTCTTTATGTTCTTCAATAACTGCGTGGCCATCCCCTCCTACTGCCTATACCTGCTCGCCCTGCAGCCGCTCCGGGTCTGGGACAGCGCCACCTTCTGGTACCTGGAGGGGGTCATGTTTAAGTGGTTACTGGCCATGGTGTCCTCCTGGGGCTGGATTGCGGGATACACAGGTAGGATACAAGCCTTGATAATCTACATCTACAGATGCTCACTTATGTCTGTCCTGTTTTTTGTCATAGTTCTTGAACGTAGACTGTAAATAGACATAGCAAACCTGCCAGCCGTCATGTTCCAAACAGAAACGATGATCCTGGGGTTTTCATTTCACTATTTTGTGCGTAAATCAAGATATGAACATTAATAACAAACAAATCTGGTGCTTTATTTCCCCCCCAAGTCGCTCGCATTAGCATTAGCAACAGGTTTGATTGACAATGTTGTTAATCTGGGAAAGGGCGTCACCATCAACAGCCTCTATCATCAACAACCTCTTTGGTTGCTATGATACTCACGGTCAGAAAACCAAATTTGGAATTCTGCTCTAAATTGACCGCCTCAATGAGCTTTATTTGGCTGAAGCCGATTGCTGTGGTTGACATCACACTCCTGGGCCAATAGTTGGGTTTCACGTGACGTCACAGGGCTACGTTTGTCAGCGTGCAAAATCAGATGGAGGGCAGGAAGTGAACTGACTGGAGGAAAATGCCGATGTGTCGTGTAGTTTACGGCTGTGCCAATTGTTCTAACCGAGAGAAGGAAAAGCGATTTTTTTTTTTTTTTTTAGAGTACCGAATATAGTCGTCCACAAAGGTCAGAAATGGGAAAAGCTGACAGAACAACGCCATAAAAAATGGATTACAAACCTGTTTGCGGTCGGGAGGAGCAGAATTCGCTAATGCTCGTGTCTGCAGTGACCACTTCGTCAAAGGTTTGTTACAAAGCTAAATTGTTTTTTGTGGTTTACTTAAACATAAACGAATCATTAACGACTAACGGCTAATGACGTTTGTTGACATTAAATAGTTCAGATAGAGGTTACTGCCGATACACTGCAGTTTTTCCCATAACGGTCTATACACATAAAATAAGAGAAACACTCACCCCGGCCAAGACCAAACCATAATCATCATTTAGGCGTTTTGCACCAAGGTTGAGGACCCATCCACTGACAAAAAAGTTATATGCCTCCAAACTTTTGTACGCCTTTATCTGTTGTCTGGTGTAGAACGATGTCTGAAGAGCTAAATAGTTCGTGATATCCTCTGCCTCGATTGTCGGCAAATCTTTTTCTTTGGTTGAAAATTCTCTCATTTTCAATAAGATGGGGTCACGCCCAATATATTTGTCGACTAACTGCTCGTACTTTTGCCTTGCTCCTGGCTCTAAATCCTTACAATAAGAACTCTTCTCCATATCTGTGTTCTCCAGAGCCGTGTTTGTCGTGTTTGTCTTCACTTCCTGCCCTCCACCTGAAATTCGCGCATCATCGTGATCACGTGACTGAAACCCTCCTATTGGCTGTTCAGTGTTTATTATATTTGTGGTATATGTTTATTATATTTCTATTATATGCACAATACACCATTTGATGGTGGATAAAGGATTTCACATTTTTTTTATATTAATCTTAAAATCTCAGAGTGTCATAGATCACATAGATGGCCATCGTATCCTAAGACTTGATATCCATGTATGCAGTGAGGATGCAGTGACTTAAACGTGTGTGTACAGTAATGAGCTGTTTGTGGTGTTTGGTTACACTGGGACTAAGCGCTTACAAATGACCACATGTAGAGCTACACGGCCAAGCTCTTTAATTATGTAGAGCCTGGAGCCTATAGAGCACCTCTGCCCAAACCAGGGACTCATGCTGCACCCGAGGAATCCTGTCACTTATCACAGGCAGGGTTTAGTGCAAGCTAGTATCGCCATGATACTCAGATTTGAATCTGTTTGGTGACTAAGGAAGGCATTTACAACACCCAGATCTACTTGCCCAGTAAACAAAATAGTGCTCTATGTATTTATTTATTTATTCATTTATTCATTCATTCATTCATTTATTCATTCATTTATTTATTTATTTATATGGACAGCCCTATATAAAACTTTTTTTTTCTTTCATATGGATACCAACATAACATGAGCACAATGGCTAAATGGGTTGAGAATTCGGGGCATGTAGTATACTTTTTCCTTTCTATAGGGTGGTTATTTTGAAGAATCTCAAATATATAATTTCATACAACAATCCACAGTGTAAATATGGAAAAAAGAAGACTCATGTAGCCTAATATGAAATAATGACTGCGGTGCACACAGCTGCACAGATTAAGTGAGCACTTGTCACTGTGGCCGTTTTGCGACACAGTGAAAATACTGGACTTGTCTTTCCCTTTCATGGAAATGAAAAATGCCATTATGATCAAACAAACCGTAACTTCATTTACAACCAAATCAAATAATTAGTTATTATTAATGGAGGACTAGATTTGTGTTGCTGTATCTTCACTTGCCTGCTCGGGCAATTAGGCAGAGGAGAGCACTTACCCGGACAAAACTTTTAGTTGCCCCGGGCCAGAGGACAACCGTTAATGTCGAGCCCAGAAAATGATAAAGATTGTTTTTCAGCACAAACAAATACTAAGTTTGACGGACAGAATGTCTTCTTTCTTTTCATTTAAGTGCTCAGATGGCTATTAGCACACTGCTGAATCATAAGTCCAAACAATTTCCCTTGTGGATCAGTAAAGTTCTGTGTAAGTGTGTATAAGTGTAAGTGTTTTGCCAATTGAGGCAAAAGGAGTAAAGATCAGTGGGAGTGTAAGGGGAGTATTTTCTCAGCAATGATGTCATAAATACAGAAGAAGATCAAGAATAACATTACTTAATCCTGAATCTGGGAAGGAAGATTATAACATGGTTAAAATTCTTTAATAGCTGTATTTTACAGTAATGGACACTTATTTGTTGAGCTGGCATGTTGCAAAACAATGCTAGTGCATGTTAGCCACAACAGTTTCCTGTATATTGATGCACGGCACTAGCGAAATTATGATTCCATTGCATATAGCATCTAGCATTTGCAAAACCCAATGCATTACAGATAATAACACGGCACTGCCTGCACGTGCCTGTCGCTGATGCACTGCACACCGCTACTAGGACACATCTGAGCCAGGGCAACCTTTCTTTAACTTTTGACCTTGACTTGACATACACAAGCTGCATTTCCTTTGGACTTTTGTGCATTATTTGAGTACAAGAGTTGAGTTCTCAAAATGTAGTCCAGGTCATTTTGGTGATTCCCGTCACACGGAGGTTACTGTGGACCAGTGCTACAACATAAATACTGCGACTGAATAAAAATCGCATTTTGTATGGTTTAGTGCCACATTTAAGGACTGGGAATCACAGGGTCTTTCAATGATTCGATAATACACAGTGCAACCCTCACAACACAATATTTATATGGCAATGCTGTAATCAATATATTGCACATGATACTCTACAATACTATATGGCAATTTTTAAGAACCACATACATTTTAACAAGAGTATTTCAAAACTACGTAAGGATGCATTTGTTTACTTGTCACTGCAGGTTACTTGTATTGCCTTGATTTGCCTTTACCCATATTTTTGCACAGTGAAGTAATGCATAAACATATCATGGTCATTTTCAGATAAGTATTTGTTTTTATAAAGCTTTTTAAAATACACATACCGGGGTATTTTTGTTCAGTTATTATACAGTGGAAATTCCCACCCTTGCCTGTTTATTTAAGCTAATGACCTGGTAACGTCTCATTAGGGCTGGCCCTGTCATCATGGCTGATATATTGTCATGTATATGGGGTTGATACGAAAGTCTGTATGACAGGACAATAGCTTATTCTTCTTCGATGTATCTGTGCCCCCACACATGTCCACGTCCCCTGTGTATGTCCTGTTACTGCTGCTGTCAGGCACGTCATTCTGGTTTTTAAAATGTTCATTTCTTACCCACTCTACATGATCCTGGTGTTTTTATTTTGCTATTTTGCCTCTAAATGAACAATAATAGTAGATTTTTCCTGAGGTTTTGAGTGAGAAATATTGTGCTTTGTTGCTAAGCACCTGGTTTGACAGAGGGTGACCTTCAACAACCTCATTAATTGCCTCAACCTCTTAATTTGTACTTTTGGTTGCACATTCAGATTTTCAAACATGGAACTTTGCTCTACATTAGCTGTTCTAACTGCTAGCCTCGATTGGCCGTCCACTTGGTCTACGGTCCTCCTCCCAATCTACTCTTCTGTTTACACTTGCAACTATTATTACAAGTTGCTCTATTTTGCCATCAACCTATCAGCCTACTACAATTACATTAGTTAATGTTCTGAAAAGGGGCAACAGTGGCACAGCTGTGGTCTTCAGTCCTGAAGGTTGCTGGTTCAATCCTTACTCAAGGTGCATGCTGTAGTTGTGTTCCTGGGTATAAATAAACATAGTAGGCCTATGCAGTAAACCAAATTTTAGTGACTGATCAGTTTGAGTCTTTTTACGGAGAGGTCTACAGTCAGTCCCATGTCAGTAAAACAATGTGTTTTGGGCAGAGTTTGGACTTTGGAGGAAGATTGTCTTGATTAATGATCATCACTGAGCATTATCTGAGGCGCGCTTAACGTAAATTCATGCTGCTGATGAAGGAGCATGTTTACGACTCATATCTCCTCTCCAAAATGATTCCTTATTTATCTTAAATGCATTCTGAGCATTCTAATTATTTATCGCAGTGAGTTTTTAAGAGCTTGTCAAAACTTTGAGAGACCAGAGCAGAGGTTTACCATTAAAGTAATACTAACAACAACTAGCATGATAACAATGCACTTCTGATTTTCAGATTACCAAAACACTTCATAAATAGATGCAGGCAGTTCATGGCCATGCCAAATTATTTGTGCACAAACATTTCACATAAAACTATGACCAAAGTGAAATCACCCCAGACCAGGAAATAACATGTAAAGTTCTGCAGACACAACTATCTCCACCCTCAGAAAGCCCTTTGTTGTTTTACCTCTCTTCAAGTGTGAAAGTTGATTAACTCATGGCTGTGAAACAAAAGCCACTCTGCTATGATATAGATGTAGCTTTGTATTTCTGTATAAATACTCAGAACTCAGATGCTCTGGAGGTGACACTGGGTGGATACTTGTTTGGGACATCGAGAGGCTGTTCGTCTATGGCCAGGGCAGGCCTGGGCCCTGTTTTATCTACTATGACAAGAATGTTGTATTTCATCAACTCACTAGGCTTCAAAAATTGAGTTTTATTCATGAGATATATAATTTTTCCACAACAAGCACAATAACAATTTCTTTTCAGCAGAAATAAAATGACCATTGTGGTTCCTGTATTGGATTTATGCCCAACCATTTGCTCGCTAAACTATTCGTTCTCATTCTCTTAGGTGTTTAGCGCTGTAGCTCCTATCCCAATGCCCTTTGTGTGCCATGTAAATATTGAGTGGTTGGTTTGCATAGCGTGTGTGTGAAGTGTTGGAACATATTTTTAGAAAGTTGACAGAGGGGTAACGTGCTACTCCATAACCGTGACTTTGCAGTTCATTTTGGGGATATTGAACCACCTTTACTTTAGGATGTTTGGTCGTTTGATTTCTTTTTTTTCCTGCTAGAAGGGCTTTGATAAGCCTGATAAAAAGCATTACAAGTGTAAAGAATTATTATTTTTTATAATACTTTGCAGTGACATCTTGTTGGATTTTTAGATTGTCTGAAATAATACAAAATTGATTTAACAACACATTCAGGAGACTGTGAACAATAAAGGTATTCATGGTCAACTTTAGGAGTGTTAATTTCAACAAAAAAATAAAAGTGACTAACTGAAAAAGTGCTGGCACATGCTAGCTAGCTTGTGACTGTAATGTTATTTGAGAACACAAATCAAATCACCTGTTGTAGTCCTATTTAAGTCAGCTCTTTCAGGTCATATAGTGTTCAGACAAAGCTCAGATTAAAGTCTTCTTAAAGAGCTTCTGACAGAGCAGTGCCTCTAATTGGCACATCCCTGGGGAATGTGGGTGATATCAGTGATTCATATCAGTATGAATTAGATTCCCCTGTTGTATAGTAAGTGTTGATATTTGTGTGTTTGCAGTGACTGAGTGGGGTGATGACGTGCGGCCGATCTCGGAGGAAGAGGCCATGGTGATCGTGAACCACCAGTCGACAGGAGATGTGTGCACGCTCATGATGTGCCTGCAGGATAAGGGCACTGTAAGTATACAACCAAACCTCACACAGCTGCATGCTGGGATAATGCTCTTCAACCCAGTTTTTTATTTTGGCGTGATGGGAACAGTGTTGATGTAGATTATCAGTGCTAAACTTTGTAAAAAAGGATTGAGAAAAAAATAGTTAAAAGCTAAATTTAACCCTCACGCTCTCCTCAGGGTCACATAGACCCAAAGAAATTTTTTTTTCCTTCCTACTCTCTTGGGATGGGTCAGTCAGACCCAAAAATGTATTTTCAAATAAATTCTCACCAGATGAGAAAATAAATAGTTGTGGTGTTGTGGTGTGTCTTTTGCATGCATGCATTCAGTGTACCAGGTTGTAGCACCAGTGCTAATTTCCACCTGTCGTCCCTGGGCAGGTTCATTGATTGATTGTATTTAACTGACCTTGGCTGTCAACTGTTCTTCCTGGAGACCTATGTAACATGTTTTGGGTATCCCGGTTACTATCGGAATATACCAGCTACAGTATCCTGGTTTCTAATAACCGGGATACTGCCATAACTGGGGTACTGTGTATTAGAGCCCGACCGATATGGATTTTGTTGTGGCCGATATGAAACCGATATAATGGGAGTTGGAGCTGCCGATATAATCACCGATATATTTAGTGATGTAAAAATTCACTGTAAATCTTGAATTGATTAAAAAACTTAGGTTTGGCTCTAGTGGATTCTAAATTGGGTTTATTTAGGCAACATTTATTGTTATTTTGACTCTTTACATCATATTTACATACAGTAGATTGGCTCGGCTCACTAAAGCTGCTGGCTCTTTCGGCTCCCAAGCGACTCTTGAGATTGTTTTGTTGCAAGCAGGACTAAACCAGAACTGAACCAGGACTGAGTGTCGGGACTCGGTTTCTATCTTTCTCCTGCACTCGAGCCCAAGATTAGTCCTGGTTTATTCATTTTATGCTGAACTGCAGCCAAATATGCACTTTTTTTTTATCCTATGCACATGCAGATTTCTGAAAGTTTCGTTTTCAGCCGCTGCTGCTGTCAAACTACGGGTCTACAAGCGGCATGAAGAGAAAGTGAGAAAAAGAGAAAACACGGCTCCCAATAAGAAGCAGGCTCCCGTTGTTCGCTCCGCTTCGATCGCGACCGACCCGTAACTCCTAGCTAGTAAACTATCGCTATTAGCCTTTAGCCGTAAATGCTGCGCACTGCGGTAGTTAATTACATGCATAAATGTGGATCATTCACACGTCTATTCACAGCTCATTTACATATCAATGCAGGTCCAGTAACAAATATACGGGAAATGTAGTAACTTTACAATAGACCAATAGAAAACAGCCTGTTTATGTGTGGGAGCGACAGCAGCTAACCGCTAACAAAACCTAAACTAGCTTCAAAGTCGATGTATTTCCAACTCACCGCTCACACAGGCTCCTCCTCACATCACAAGTCTGCACTAATAAATGTCCTTTTAATCCAGACTCAAACCGATTGTCCGAAAAAGAATATAATCTCAGTGTTGCGCACCGCTGCGGGTGTAAACAAACACACGCGAGTGAAGTGACGTCACTCTGGTGGTGTGTTCAGGGACAGTACGGACACAGACAAATTACACCGCAGATAAATACTGATGCGGAGCCACATATTAGGACATTTATCTGTCTGTAAATTGGATTAAATGAACATAATGTAGAGAGTCTAAACTTTATAACGAGGTATAACATGCCCACGTGAAATATCGGCCCATATCAGCAGATATGGCCGATAGCCGATATGTCTCCAGGTGCCCATATTGGCCGATAATATCGGCCAGCCGATATATCGGTCGGGCTCTATTGTGTATACATGCACCATGAAGATTGTAGATTTAACCAACCTTTTGTAGATTTATAAATGTAACTACATCTTTTTAAAACCTGCCTTACTTTTTCGTATCAAAACAGTAATTGGGTCTTCGCTTCCCTGTCACCTATTTCTTAGTATTCTACCGGTTGAGAATTCCTTATAATAAAAACTTGGAGAACACTTGCTAACCAGGGTTTTGAGCACTACACAATGTCTATATGTCTTTGTGTTATCAAGACTGATGCATATGACTTATCAGAGCAAATAGACAAATTGCAACGGTTAAAAAGATAATAGACAAAGTGCATAAGGGTTGAAAAGAAAATAGACTAGAGTAGGGCTGGGCGATATGGAACCTAACGTTAACGACAAACACACATGCACGTGTGTGCTACCGGCTGTAAACAGAAACATGTGCAAAGTCCTAAATTAGGACTTAAGTGTCACTCATAATGGTGAGAACACAGTTGTTTAGTTTCTGTAACTTGGATTATAAAGATGAGGAACACCAGAGGAGATAAGAGGAGAAAATGTGAGGAGCTGCAGCTGGATCAGAGAGTGGGAGGGGCAACGGGCAGACGGGTCCACACACACAGACAGAGGGAACAAATTTAAAGCCTAACGTCAAAACCTGTGAAACGGGAGGATTCATACGGAAACAGAGGCACACTGTGACTGCTTTTTCTTAAACAAGACTCCCACATGATTGGCTGTAGACCTGTCGATTAAAATGTGCTTGCCTTATCTATCTATTGATCTTACGATTTTTGGAACAGCCATAGAATAGAGTGAAGAATGAGGAGATATTCATGCATTTTTCCTCAAACTTTCTAATATTCAACTGAAATTTCAAATATACTTTACTTTGTACTATACTTATTACCAAGGTACCACAATGAGATTGTACCATGTCCTGTGCTGAGTTTGTTAGTGCATGTTCAGTTTTTCATCCTGACATGCACCTTGGTGTAAAAATTCTGGCTGCCATTGTATTGATTGGTGATGCTAACTATTTTATTATTTGAAATAAAAAAAATAAAAAAGGATGATTGTAAAGTTTGACCAAAATCTAATTAGTTACAGCATCAATCCAATTTTGCTGGCAATTTAAGCCAGTAACCTACCTCTAGCTGCCTGTTACCTATGTTATTTTTACCTTGATTTGCCAATCATTGATCGGTGGCCGATTGATCAGAGCACCTCTAGTATGCTGTTATGCTGACTATTAATTTGTCATGTGTCTGATCAACTGCATGATCCACGAGTACCATATTTTTCGGACTGTAAGTCGCACTTTTTTTCATGGTTTGGGTGTTTCCTGCAACTTATACTCTGGTGCGACTTATATACTAACATTTTCAGACTGACAGCCACGAGAGGCTCTAGGCTGCAAATAGTGAAATATTCAGCCAAAAATGTTAATCGAGCAGCAGAAAGAAAGTTTGGAGTGAGCAAGAAACTTGTGATTGAATGGTGGAAAGCGGGGATGGACAGTATAGCTTCAAGGCACCCGGGCGAGTGTGCCATGCAACTTTCCTGGAAGTCACTGGATGAATCGACAAAGCCTGAACTTCAGTGACAATCGAAACCATCCTGTCGGGATTCAGAAAGGCCCGAATAATTCTAAGTGGAACTGATGCTGAGTCTGACAACAGCTACACAGAAGAGGAAGTGGCGCTCTGTTTACATCATGGATCTATGGTTTATCTCTGGAGGTCACGCAGAAGCGACTCCGAGGATGAAGAATGCAATGGATGATGTGATAGTGATTTGGAGTGAGACTGTGAGTTTGGTAAACTTATGTTCTGTTGTTTATGCTATAATTATCTGAATAACTGTTCATATGTTACATTAACATATTAACGCCGATTCAGTCTGTTCTCTATTCTGTTGTTATTAATATAAACTCGCCTTTCAAGATGAAATGTCGGTTGCTGGTCTCTGATTTTGGGGAAATGTATTTTGTAAAAAGTGCGACTTATAGTCTGGTGAGAATTATGTGTGTTTTTTTCCTCTTCATTGTGCATTTTTATACTCCAGAGCTACTTATAGTCAGGAAAATACGGTAATGAAAATTGGCATAGTTGCCATAGTAATTAATTATTACTAATTAAAGCACAATCTTTGAACAGTGCTTGTTGTGTTGCCAAACTTAATAACCCTTTTTTATAGCACCTGTCATGTATGCTTATGTCATAAACACTCACTTGTGATTGAAGGCAGAAAATATGAAAAATCACTATTGTTGAAGATATGCAATTAGTATAGAGTTGTTATAAGTAATTAAAGTGGCAAAGTTTTAGTGCTCACGTTAACTTTCTAGACTTCCGTGAACATCTTGTAGCCCCTTTTGCATGTATTCTGTTGCTTGGCCTGGTTGTAGACTGCACTAAGAGTGGTCTGAATCTGACTAAATTTGGTTGTTAAGCGCACTTGGATTTCCCTGTGCATGTAAACGTAGTGAGTGTCTCTGGTTGATCCTGTAATCCCCCAAACTGTTGTGAGCCAGGCCCAGATATTCACAGGGACAGCAGGTCCGTGCAGGGCGGGGACGCTTTCTCTGGTGGTGCGGGCTGCTGGCTGACAGATGTGTGATTTTGCAGGTGGTGAGGAAAATGATGTGGCTCATGGACCATGTGTTCAAATACACCAACTTTGGCCTGGTTTCTCTTATCCACGGGGACTTCTTCATCCGACAGGTGAGATATATTTGGACACACCAAGTATTTTGATTACACTTGAGATTTCGAGAGGTCAGACACAACGTTTTCTGTTTTTATTTGCCAGTGCCTGTCATTTTGGTACTGCTAAATAATAATAGAAATATTGTGTCCACAATTCACATACAAAAAAATTGACCTCAAATATGAATCCAGGACTCATCAATACCTGGATGTTTTGTTTCATTCACACTGGTTGGAGTTATCCAGCATATATAATCTGTCTGCTCTTGACATCACCTGGTACTTGTTGGGCCAAAGATGTTCATTTTGTCTTCTTGTGTACTTTAACTTCTTGGGTTCTTATTAAAGACAATACAGTAAAGTGTATTTACACGTTTCAGCTTCTAGCTGCTAGTAGTTCTGAAGACACTTACAACTAGCAGCCAAAACATGTCAACAAGGTAAATACACTTTACTGTATTGTCTTTAATAAGAACCCAAGAAGTTAATGGTATTTGTTGTGTTATTAATGTCATAATTTTTGTATGTATCATCAGTGTTTCCATACGTAATTTTCAAGGTTCTATATTACGTGAAACCAACTTGCTTTAAGCCTTGTTATAATGTTGTTACCTCATTAAAAACATATCCTGAGTTGTGTTTTGTTTCATTATTAAGTAATCTACATCTTCAAAGTTCTAAATGCTTTGTTCCACCTTGTGATGTCACGAAGCCGCAGTTTTTCCCTATTTTTTACCTTTAGTTCAGTAGAGATTGGCAATTTGAGGGGTGAAATTATCCAAATGAATCTAGTGAAGGTGTATGGAGTTTAAAACGCAATGGCACATCTGTTATGTTACCTCATGACATCACAAGGTGGAACAGAGTGTTTTCTGTTTGAGAGAGAAACTCAGCCTAAAAATGCCTGTTATGTGTGTGAAACTTGTGTGAATGAAACAAAACACAACTCCAGATCTGTTTGTGATGAGGAAACTACATTAGAACATAAATCAGAAAATTGATTCATATGTGCCCTTTATATTTTATACAACATGCCTTAGCACAGGCCGTGCAGGCTGAGGTGTTGTAGCTGTGGACACCACAGTTTTGCATTGAGTCTGTATGACGTCTGTACAACCTGAGATCTATTACCACTAGAGCTGGACAATAAAATTTGAGTCTGGATCTGATTGCTGTGACAATATGCCATTTTCATTTAGTGCTTTTCTGTTAGAAGCACTGTGACAAATTTTTTGCTGTCCTAAAAACGTAAAAACAGAGTTCATTTTAAATAGTTAGCAGCAGTCCAAAGTAATTCCTCACTTTGCTAATTCATACCACATAATTATTCACTGCAGTGACTTTATGAACAATGTTTTGCCTGCAGCAACTAGCATACTAATGCTGCACAAGCTTTACTGTCTGTTTTCTGAACAATAAAAACACTTAATAACTGGATACAGAAAGCAGATAGCTGTCTCACTTTGACCTTAAGAGTACTGAGGAAGGATACATTTTACTTTATTACAAACAAATTGGGTTCAGCCTCTTCAAAGTGGAAGAGTGGTTATATGTTTAGTATAAGGAACATATGAAATGAGTGTGTCCTGGCTCCAGTGGCCAATGCAGTTTTCAAAATCCTGCCCCTCCTTTCCCCTCTCTCTCTTCTTATACTGCTCATTTTGTCAGCTCAGTTTGAAATGTGGCTGTGGGTGGAGTTTAAGTGTTAAAAGGCCCAATATTACGCAGTTTTCTGATCTATGTTATTATGTAGTTTCCTCATCATAAACAGACCTGGAGTTGTGTTTTGTTTCATTCACACATGTTTAACACACAAAATATTTAGAATGTGTTCTTCTCTCAAACTCTGTTCCACCTTGTGATGTCATATGGCAATATAGGAAGTGCTTTACTTTGTTTTTAAATTCCATACATCTTCAATGGAATCAGTAGGATGATTTCAGCCCTGGTATTGTCTCTACTGAACTAACGATGAAAGCTGTTAACATGAAAACATGAAAACTACCACTGCATGACATCACAAGTTTTTGAGCTATGGAGATGTAGACAGACTAATAATAAAGGATAAAAATAAAGGGATAAACAAAGAAGGCCAGGTATGTTTTGGGTAAGAATGTTCTAACATGGCTTAAAGCTCACAAGAGTCAATTTTGAGTAATATAGGACCTTTAAACCAATCACAGGACCTGAGTGGAGCGGGTGTGACCTGACTCAGTGGGGTCATGGTTCCAATTTTGAAAATCTGACTATGCACCTCCAAACCTCCATCTGGGTAGCATTTCAACATCACTACCTGAAATGGAAGCACTTTACAGGGGCTGAAGTCACCTGTTGTTCTCCTCCATTAACTCAAACTGCTTCTCAGAGGAACTGAAGCCAAGTACTGAATAAACATGTGGTGTAATGCTAACAGTTACAAGCGCCGTACTCAAAACAAACAACTGGAGTGATGAATGCAGTGTGGACCCGGACCCATAGCTCAGGCTTTAATGGCATAACTCACATCAATGTACTACCACGACGGCATTAAGAGCATTAGCGTGGTGCAGGAGGAGCCCCATCGATTTTTAGGTGGGACCAATCGAAATACATTCACATCTGCAAAGAGGAAATGCGGCCATTATTCTAAGCAGCAGATCTGAATGGCAGTAGACACAGAGGGCACACATAGTATAGAGGCTATGAATGACCTCGGAGGGTTTACTGCCAGAGACTGCTGCTGCTGTGCAGAAGTAGTGGTAGTAATGGTAGTAGTAGTGGTAGAAGTAGCGATAGCAGTAATGATAGTGGGAGTAGAAGTGGTCTCCCAGACAGTGGGCTCAGATGTGCTTGGTTGTCTGTGCTCCAGTACTGTGGCAGTAGTAGTAGTGGTAGTTGTGCTGTCCTGATGACACATGACTACTTGAAGCTACACAGCCAGTGAACTAAAAAAGAAAACTGTACACAAGGCATGCTTTTCTTGATTATTACTGAGAGAAAATATCTGAAAACTTTATACTGAAAATAAAATGATCCTTAAAGGTGAAAGTAAAGATTTCATTTTATCCAGATCTTTTTAAACAGTTTGCTAAATATGAAATGGACATGTATATTTTGCAAGTCTAAACTTATTTATAACTTTTAACTATCATAGTAACATCATGAAATGTTAATGTCTTTTAACCCAAAGGCATGACAGTAGGAGGAGTAAGAGGAGTAAGAGGAGGAGTAGAAGTAGGAGAAGTAGGAGAAGTAGGAGAAGTAGGAGAAGTAGGAGAAGTAGGAGAAGTAGGAGAAGTAGGAGAAGTAGGAGAAGTAGGAGGAGTAGGAGGAGTAGGAGGAGTAGGAGGAGTAGGAGGAGTAGGAGGAGTAGGAGTGGATGCATTGTCTCCCAGACAGTGAGCTCCAAACTCCTGAGGAGAGTGTACAGGGCCTGGGCCAGTTCACGTTCTATATTAAAAAACAGAACTCCTCAAAGAAAACTTGTACTCAGACCCCCTGACCCCCTCAAAAACACTGTCTTGTACTATACCTTTTGCTCTGTTTACCATTTATTATTAGTTATTTATTACGCATGGGATAGAGAGAAATGTAATTTAGAGTCCTTTGTATGTCTAGTCAATAAAGATTGACAATGACAATAAAGCTAACTCTGAGTTTTAAAGATCTGTTCCTAATTTCTCAATTTGAATGAAGTTTATTATTTTATTCCTGATTGGGCTTGAGCAACAGATGTGACATGCATAGATGTTGTAATTGTTCCCTAGCAACTGTTCTGTAAACATGGGCTGAAGTGTGTCTAACTTGTTTGACAAATAAAAATGAAAGAAAGCACTTTCATGGTCCGTCCAGGTCAAATTCCCTAGAGAAGAGTTAGAACTCTGTGTAACTTATTACTCATTTAATAAATAGATATTAGGGCCCGACCGATATGGATTGTTGTGGCCGATATGATACCGATAAAGTGGGAGTGGAGCTGCCCATATATTTAGTGATGTAAAAATTCTTGAATTAAATAAATCTTGAATTGTTTAAAAAAAAACAACGTATTTTTGGCTCTAGTGGATTTTAAATTGAAATGAACCAGGACTGAGTGTCAGGACTTGGTCTTTATCTCTCTCCCTTTCTCGAGCCCAAGATTAGTCCTGGTTTATTTATTTTATGCTGAACTACAGCCAAATATGCACGTTTTTTCTCTCCTATGCACACGCAGATTTCTGAAAGTTTCATTTTCAGCAGCTGCTCGCTGCACGAGTCTGCACACAGCGCAAAGAGAAAACACGGTTCCCAATACGGATCAGGTTTCCGTCGTTCGCTTCAAAGAGCCGGCTCTAAGAGCCGTTTTGTTCACGACTGACCCATCACTACTAGCTAGTAAAGAAACTGTTCAGGGACAGTACGGACACACACACAGACAAATGACTCAGCAGATAAATACTGATGTGGAGACACATGTTAGGACATTTATCTGTCTGTAAATTGGATTAAATGAACATAATGTAGAGAGTCTAAGCTTTATAAAGACGTATAACATGCCCACGTGAAATATCGGCCCATATCAGCAAGCATATTGGCCAATAGCCGATATGTCTCCAGGTGCCCATATCGGCCAATAATATCAGCCAACTGATATATCGGTTGGGCTCTAATAGATATTATATTATGATAAATATTAAACACTGGTATTATCCCACCAAAGTTATAATTAGAAAAAACATGGGCTTTAAGATGAAGAACTGAGTACCAGCGTATAATTGTATAATCTCTGTATAATTTGTATGACAGATTTAACTGCAGTGTGAAGTACTGTGATTATTAATTTTTTCTGAATTTGGTTTAATAGTTTTTTGGGGGGGGGTTTCCCCCATAAATCACACTGTTCCTTATACTCTCAGGTCTAATTCTGACTTTGTTTGGTGGGATACTACTACTCAATATTTATCATAGTTTCACATCAGTTAAGTGGCAGAAAAATACAGGAAGTAGGCCTACCTCTCAGTTATTAATTAGAATACCTCTACAACATAACATCATTAACACTGAAAATTCCATCCAAAATGCAGTAAATTAACGCAAAAGGAAGGCATTTCTGACCTTTGTTTTGTTAGATTACTGTTTTATTAGTCAGTTAGTAAGTATCGTGTAATGTAGAAAAGTTGTGTCCTTTATTAGGATTATGGAAATTATAACCTTTTCTAACCACACTTAGGGACACTAGGGAAACCACACTCGTGTGCATTCTTGTCCGCATGCTCGTACAAGCACAAGTAAATCAAGTTGTCTAGATTTCAAGATGAGAGGAAAGAAAATTTACATTTATTAAAAAAACAAGGTAGCATATTTTGTTAAAGCATTTGAGTGTAAAATAAAAGGGATTAGCATGTGGTTTTAAATGTGATTATCCTCAGAGTGCAAAAACATGGTTGTGCTAACAAAACTAGCTCATATTTAGCATTAGCTGATTCCTGTCCACATAATTTTATTTATTGTTTGCCCCTTTTAGTTATGGTTCAATTATGGGTTCCTAGGTAATAGATATAGAATTACCTCTAGGTTTCTGCTGCCCGAGTCCAACCAGAAAGTAAACTTATAAACTTTACCAAAATAAAAAAAATAAATTAAAAAATAGGCAAGAGTTTTAGTAAAATCTTAAATATAATGATGTTAACTGAATTGTTGGTTATGGTGTTTCCCTTGCTCAGGGTAAGGCTCACCGAGACAAGCAGCTGGTTTACCTGAAGGAGCACTTGGACCGCTACTACCACAGCCGCGACCGCAAGTGGATCGTCCTGTTTCCAGAGGGTGGCTTCTTGCGGAAAAGGCGGGAAACCAGTCAGCTGTTTGCCAAGAAGAACTCCCTGCCTCACCTGACCCACGTGACCCTGCCGCGTATGGGAGCGACCCACGTCATCCTCAAGACTCTGGGAAGGCAGCAGGAGAATGGCAGTGTGGGAGGAGACACCGGCAACAACAACCAGAGCGGTATGTATGCGCCAGTAGTACTGTCCCGATTCAACTTGATTTTGATACTAACGAACAGACTCGATACTAGGGCTGGGTATCATTCAGAAGTTGCCGATACGATACATACCTTAAGACATAGGCCAAGATACGATACATATCTCGATACAGTGAGTTTATGATTCGATACGATTCAGTATACTATATTTCAAATTAATTTGATATGGTTCAATAAAAAATATCGAACAAAATCATGGCTCAGATACTAAAAGTCTTTGTTAAACCTTTTCTTGTGCAAAGTTCTTATGAAACACAAACATTTTAATCATCAAAACAGTGAAAATGTCAAATCTGTCACATAAACAAGTTTCCTTCCACTGAACAAGCAACAAAACTGTAGCACTGTAACAAAATAATTTGGTAAAATATACCAAAAAATACCCTTGGTGATATATTGATACAGCAGCCCATGATATCGATACTGTATCATCACATTAAATGATATGATATATCGATATTTCAATATTTTTGCACACCCCTACTCGATACCCATTACCAATTACACTGAAAATGAAGAACAGTCTTTAATTAGACAAGACAATGTGCTTTTCCACGTTATATTCCCATGTGATTTTTATATGTGTAACCCCTCATAGCGTTTTCAGGCCAACAGAAACATAACGTTGCCAGTTCCCTCCAATCTTGAACCGACTGTTTGATGTTCCTGCCGAAAATCAGAGCGTTCTGGAACCGAAAAATTGATTCCTGATAGGAATCAAGTTAAACATGTTTTTTCGAAGCAATCCATGACGACAAAGTAGACGTCAGTAGGGTCCTCTGGGTCACACGCGATAAAATAAACAAAGAAAACGTGTGTGTGGAATATGATGGAAAAATCAAGTGACCAGAAGTCTGTGCAGTGGTCAGCGTAGGAGACCAAATATTTGCGGGCCATAATGACATCAACAGAATTTAGCATTTAGAATTTTAGCATAGCCTGCCCCAGATAATTGATGATTGGTATGAGTATAAATGCTCACCGGTAGTCGATGATGTGATCCATGATTGTTATTTTCTTGCTGTGACATCCACTTTCGTATGGCCTTGTTTTTATTTGGTGGCAATTCCACACCCTTTGTCGATCATGCATCATGGGTTCACATAAATGGTATGAAGACAGGTTCACCCGTAAGCACTTTGGTTCACATTGTAACAGGAACTGGCACTGATCTGACCGGCCTGAAAACTGCTTCAGTGGTCCAGGTAGGTTCCATACTGTAGTGGTCCATGCGCTTATACAAGTCTGTGTGCTTGTATACTTGTTCTGATTCAGGAAAGATTCCATTCTGTCCTGTGAATGTGACTTTTTTGTATCGATACTTGCTCAAATTAGTATTTTTCAGTATGAGATTTACTCTACTTTTTAATTCATGCTCGACCTCATGCGATTGATGCAATTTTTTTTTTTTTTTTTTTTTTTAAGACAAGAGATTTAGTTGTTTGAGGCAGACATTATGTTACTTCAAAAACTGCAGCATTTACAATCTGCTAATTGCATCCTTTCAAATAGCAATTTTGATTCAGTTGTGATTAATCTTGTAGCCTTAATAGGGATGGACAACATATCAGATATGAAAAAATACCACAACAATACGCTTCCCCAGTTTGATCGTGAGTGAGTGATTAAAATCGTAGCAGTGACTTGTTTCCCTGATGCAGATCAAATTGCACAATATGTACTTCCCTACTTATATCAGCAAATGTCAGTTAGATGCCACAACACCATACCATGGATATCAGCATTGGCTGAAAATAATCCATATCGGAGCATCCCTTGAAACATTTTGGACCTGCATCATTCCACCTATGGAAATAGATAGTTAATGCTAGTTCTGGAGTTGATTAGAGATGGATCCAGCCGATTGATTAGTTGACTACAAAGTCTGTGTTGCAAAAGTTCTCAAAACCTGAATCATGAGTTTAAGCTGCCTTTTTACATACCAAATAATACCAAATCTACAGCAATTTTACTCATTGATTCACTTCTTCTTTCTATTGTTGTTCCTTATAAATCCTCATGATATGAATAAATATTTAAATGTAGTCCTAGTTAAACCATACATATGGAACATTCTTCAATAGGGTGCACTCACATTTGCCCTATCAAACCGTGCCCAAGTACAGATAGCCGTTAAAATGCTAAAAGTCTTTCTAGTGTAAACTCAATCAAACCATGCTTAGTCATTAAACGGTTGGAACGCATGTCTTTAGTATACGAACTGTGGTTTTGTGAGTGCGCGCCATAGGATCCTAGGCAATTGTGCTTGAGCCATCACACTGTTCTAAAGTCCTACTGTGAGCACGCCTATAGAGACAAGTTTTATGTCATACTGTGGAAGATCAACCATTATGGACAAAACAAAACAAAAAATGCACTTAGTAAAAGCAAATGTAAATGTCACCTGTTATTCAAATTATTTACAAAACATCAGACTTGATCATTGTGGACCAAAACATTCAAAACATTTCTAAATCCAATGTGAAGGCAGTGTTGTTGTGGCTCCTGTGCTGGCCATGAGGCAGACAGAAGCTAGAAACGCCTCTGTCTGCAGGGCTCCTCATACACTATGTACAAATTAGTGTTGTCACGATACTAACGTTTCTAATTCTATTTAGGAATAGACTCAATACTGATTCCGATACCACAATGATAATGAAGAATTTTCTTTGACAAGGGGTTCCCAAACTGTGAATTTAAACGCATTTCAGACACTTTAACCATAGACTGTATAAAAGAAGTGGACTAAGAGTGTGACGTCCCCCAAAGTGTTCAGCTCAAATGAAACTTCTGATGCTAACGGTTACAGGAGCAAATTTGGAACCTGGCTCCATATTTGGAAATCTGACCGCGAGTATCTTAGCAGCCACAAGAGCCAATCATAATTGAGGTTGTTAAATATGCCCGCCCTTCTCATCAGAGAGCATCAAATACACTGATCTGCACTGTTCTGCACGGACCGCAGTAGTTTGGTGTTATTTATTTATTATATTATATTATTTATATATATATATATATTTTTTTTTTTTCATCTGAACACAGGTGTTATAATTACACTGGACTATTGTACTACTACACAAACAGGTGTACAGGTAATTTAACTAATACATTAATTACCATCAGTTTAGTTTATTTATTTTACTTACCGGGAAAACTGCACATCGGGGTCTTCAAAGGTCTATTAGCACAATTAAATGCCGAACAAGCCATGACGAACTGTAAATGAACCTATATCACTATATTTTAAGACTAATAGAACAAATTAAAAAGTACAACAACCTGAAAAACAGTTGTTGTAACAAGTAAAATTAGTTCATCAAGGAGTGCATATAACAATCAGCCGACACTGTTAAATCCCTCCCTGACGGTGGAAGGGGCAGTAAAGTGGGAAGGGGGCTTGGCAATGAAACACACTAGCTGTCAATCAAACTGTTGCTAACGTGAGCAGGAGCGACCTCTGGGAATGAAGGCAGCTGACTGGTCCGTTATTTATGTTCATATCTTGATTTAGGGACAAAATAGTGAAATGAAAAATCCAGGATCATATAGAGCGGGTTAATACCAACATTTTCAGACCAAATGACGAGGCTCACAGCAGCAGGTAAAGACAGAGGAGCCACAAGATCCCAATGGAAGTCAATGGGAGCCAGGGACAGAGCAAGCCGCACTGTACTTTTGAGTACATGTATATTTGCACAAAGTTTTAGCTCTATTTTCATCTTGTTCCATAAGTTTACACCGCAAACACAGATACAAAAACTCTTCCTTGTTGTTTGAGCACGAGGCACTTTAAAGTTTAAAAAGCATCTTACATTATAGTTGAATTCTCTTTCAGAAAAAAGTTGTTGAATATTTTTTGGTAAGTGCTTACTTTTAGCTTTATACATTACTTGCCCAGTTTGGTACATTATCAAATCATTCAGTTTAAATAATTTGGTGTGAATAAACAATGTATTAGTATTGTCATGAAATTTTACATTGTAAATAGTTCTTATTGCTCTTTTTTGAAATATGGTAAAAGCAGTGGACAATAAAGTATGTGTAGTGCTCTATGATGCAAAACATGCTTTGCTTTGTTTAATACTGCAATACTTCATGATATTTTATTATGTATATATTGGATATGGGCTTTCCAGTTGAGCTTATCATCAATTATGACTCCTAAAAATGTATTCTCCTTGACCTGTTCTATACTTACACATTGTATCTGTAGCTGTATTTTTTTATTTTTTTCCTTATAATTTCCAAGTAACATTATTTTAGTTTTATTAAAATTTTGAGATAATTTGTTTGTGTCAAACCATATTTTAAGCAGCATCATTTCAGATTTTATATCAGATAATAATTGTTGTAGCCACAGCTGCCCTGGGGCAGACTGACAGAAGCGTAACAATAATAGCTTACCACCACCGTGTAAGGAGTGACTGAATAATGCTCTGTAAAGTGTCTTTGTGGCAAATGTCAGTGAAAACGCTATAGAAATAATAACTTACTTACTTTTGTATTGTCTGCATAACAAAATAAATGAGTGTCATCTGTGAATAACACTGCTTTAAACAATATAGACACTTTGCATAGTTCATTAATATATTAAAAAATAATAATAATTGAGGTCCTACCACAGACTCTTGTGGCAGGCCACAGACAATGTCCTCATAGGTAGAGCAGGGTTCCCCCAGTTTGACAAACTGTTTTTGATTTTCTAAGTAACTTTTTAGCCAATTTAAAGCTACACCTCTTTTTACATACCTTTAAAAAAAAAATATAATAATTGATGGTTTATTTTATCAAATTCTATTGTTTATTTTATCAAATGCTATTTGTAAATCTATGACTATAACAGCCATTTTTCTCTTTGATCGATCAGATTATCCAAAGTTTTGCAAAAAAAAAAAAAAAGCCTGTGCTCTGCAGCACTACCTTTGATATAAGGTGCTGAAGGTGCCGATTTTGGTTCATTTGTTTGCGCATTTGTTTTGAGTTATAACTGAACAGATGTCGTATGATCATATATGCTAGTACAAAGTATGTTTTATCATGGGAACTTGTTATGCGACCCAGACAGTTTATTTTCATTTCAGTAGTTATCCTATGTTAGCTCACATTATTTTCAGTAGTTTTAGTATTGATACCACAGTACAAGTCATTTAATCATCTTTGACCCAGATCCCTTAGATCCATAATGAAAATAGTAAGGCTGCAGTCATACTTGTGTTTGGTCCTGACTTAGTTTGGTCCTGTTGTAGTCCTGGTTTAGTCCCCAAGCTGTACCCGATAATCTTCGTGTGGTCCAGTTATGAATACTTAACAATTATTAATTTCATATAGACATGTCTTAAAAGAATACAAATGGCACTGTCTACTTTCAAAATGTATTGTCTTTATTTTGTGTCTCTTCTCTGTGTGTCTCTTCAGTCCTCTCCCTGTCTCACTACTCTGTCCTCTGCCTGTCCTTTGTAGAGTGACTCAGCAGCTGTGGCCCTGTGTCTTTGAGGAGACACTTTTGCCTGGGGGACACGTGTTTGTCCATGCCTCTCTCCCCCTCTGTCCCCTCTTTCTCCCCTGTTCGGTTTAGATGGACCTGTGTCTTTGTACAGGGGACACTCTAGTCTGGGGGACACGTGTTTGTCCATGCTTCAGTTTGAATGCGTTAGAGTGGGTCAGGGGGAAGGACAGTGAGTGACGCAGAGCACTGCACTTCTCTGTCCTCTGTGTCTGCACAGCGTTACAGAACAGAAAATATTGCCATGAGACTTGTTCACAAACAAAGACTATCTTATTTTGAATAATTATAATGAATGAAAAATGATGAAAAACGTAATGAATGAATCCAGATTTTGCCATTTAAAGGTGCACTACATGACTTGTGTTTTAGGGTAGGGTAGGCTGCCTTCCTGTGTATAGGTGTTCTTGCTTTACATTGAAGTTAATATAGTTCCACAGAACCTGTTATGTGTAGCACATGAGTTTACCAGAGCTTTCACTGAAAGCAATCAGGAAAGGGTGGAACCCTTCTGACAGATACTTTAATCTGATAGGTTGAAACATCACAACGGCGGAACAAGCTGAGAAATCAAACTCTAGTTAGGTCCTGTTGACAAATGCACAAAGCACTTCCCTCTGCAAGACTGACATACTATATCAGCCAAAATACAGTGTTGCCATGTTTCTTTTTGTTAGTTTGGGCACTTCTACTTCAACTTCCTCCAAAACCACAATCCTGCTCTGGTTGGTCCATTATACTCTTTTGACTCTGAAAACAGCCCTTAATGAAGTGAATGCTATATTAATATGTTAAATGCCATTCCGTGGAACATTCCAGGCAAAGCAATAACATCTATGTTATCCAATCTTATTAGCATTAAAGCCACATAGCCGAAGACTAGTGCTGCTGCAGCTAATATTTTCCGATGAACATCTGCAATCTAATGACTTCAGCAACAGCAACAACTGCATGTAGACTGGTGGTCCGAGCAGTTCTCTGGAGAAATCTGACTATAATTGGACATAGAGCATATCCAGAATACTCCCTGCATATAAATGGCATAACTGATAGGACCTGATAAGACGTGTGTGTATAACCGTCAGGAGGAAAAGTTCACTGCTCTGTATGTCTGTGTTATGGTGGGACAGGCTCATTATCCCGCTTAAGCAGACCACACACTACACTCTCATAGTGTGGAGCAGTTATGACTGGACTCATGTTTAAAGTGTGCACTTCGGAAATATTCATATAGACCCCAGTTGCAGTAATGATTTGAATGTCTCATGTTTCTTCTTCTGTTGGCATCACTGTTAGTTACACCTTTGAACTGCTTTTGTTGTTAACCAATGAACAGTCAGGACACATCTGCTTACTCCCACATGTGCTCACTCATAACAGAGTTTACTGCAAATCATAAATCATCAATTACTCGAGCTGGGTATCATTAAGAAGTTGATGTTCAATATGGATACATACCTCGATCCATAGGCCACGGTACAATGTTTTTTGATACAGTGCACTTTCGGTTTGATGCAGTGTATCAATTCAAAATGTTTCAAAAGAAATAATGGCTAAATCATGGCTGTGATACTAAAAGTCTTTGTTAAACCACTTCTTGTGCAAAGTTGATATGAAACACACATTTTACTCTTAAACTGTGAAAATCTGAAATGTGTTGCATAATTGAGTTTCCTTCCACTACACAAGCAAGAAAACTGTAGCTGTAACAAAATAATTTAGTAAAATATACCAAAAAAATACTCTTGGCGATATATCGATACAGCAGCCCACGATATTGACACTGTATCTTCACATTAAACGATACGATATATCGATATTTCAGTATTTTTGCACACCCCTATCAATTACAAAAAAAAAAAAAACAAAAAAAAAACATTACTTTATCCAAGTTTTGATTCGTCTCTGGCAGCAGGAATGATTCAGCAGCAACTTACAACAGAGATAACGGCCTAAATAAATAAACTGGCTCTAGGATGACGATAGACTGTATCATTGTGCGTTTTGTGTGATTTTACTTTCAGTATTGTGTAGTGTGCACACTCTCTTGTCTGTCTGGGGATAATTGTGGACCCACATTCTTTCACTATCACACTCAGTCTAGTTATGTAGTGCACAACATTGTAAATCTCTCATCACTGGGGAAGTTTTTTATATCAGTCTTTTATATCAGAACTAGTATAAGACCACATGGTAATGTTGAAGTAACTACTTGTATTCTGTCTTGAAAATTGTATTCTGTGGTTTAAAAAAAATGCTGCTGTTTGTATAAATGAGTGTTTAAAGTGCTTGAGTATCCTGGTTATGATTCTTATCTCGGTTATGACAGTACTCAGGATATGATGTTTAATGTGCTCAGAGAAATCAGATATGACCTCATGGCCCAAATATAATTATATCATGGGCCAAAATTGGCCCCCGGGCCTGAGTTTGACACATCTGCGATAGTGAGACATCTCACTCATGCTACTCAGAGAACCAGGGTTATGAAAGTAACCTAAAGTTAGCATGGATACCAATTTCAGCACTAATCGCTAATGTTGATCACTTAATGTTGCTCGTTGATCACCAGAACTGCCCTGGTTTTGTGTAGTTTGTGATGTTTAGAGGCTAACCCCAGCTCTCCCATTGAAAATGCATTGGGGTTAACATATGGAAGAAGTCCAGCTTTTGGAAAGTTCTGTTTATAAGCATTGGGGGTCTATATTTTTGAATTTTACTTATAACTGATAAACACAATTATACAAATGATTGTATAAGCAGGTAAACATCATGTTCTGAGTTAAAATGTTCAGATTCTTTTTTTTTATTGGTGTATTATAATATCTCAGAAAGGTTATTTTTTTTTTGTATTTTGATCTCATAATGTCACTGCATTGTTTAGTCTGTTATGTAAATGCTTTCTTTATGATGACCCTGTTGTACAAAGTGGACTATAGGACTGTAGGCATGTCAGGCTTCAAACTTAGGTAATGGTTTATTTTGGCATTTTATTTAGGTGAATTGAGGTCTCCCTGCAAGGTCAATGTTTATTAAAAATTTAAAAAGACTGAATCCTAATTGTTGATTGTCTCCTCTTTTTCAGGTGTAAATAAATCCAAAAGCCTGCAGTGGGTAATAGATGTGACTATAGCCTACCCCAAAGCAAGACCTATGGACATCCAAACCTGGATCTTTGGATACAGGCCTCCAACAGTCACACATGTACACTACAGGTAAGGGACCTCAGACACATGTACACTACAGGTAAAGGACCTCAGACACATGTACACTACAGGTAAGAGACCTCAGACACATGTACACTACAGGTAAAGGACCTCACACACACGTACACTACAGGTAAAGGACCTCACACACACATGTACACTACAGGTAAGAGACCTCACACACATGTACACTACAGGTAAAGGACCTCACACACACATGTACACTACAGGTAAGAGACCTCACACACATGTACACTACAGGTAAGAGACCTCACACACATGTACACTACAGCTAAAGGACCTCACACACACATGTACACTACAGGTAAGAGACCTCACACACATGTACACTACAGGTAAAGGACCTCACACACACATGTACACTACAGGTAAGAGACCTCACACACATGTACACTACAGGTAAAGGACCTCACACACACATGTACACTACAGCTAAAGGACCTCACACACACATGTACACTACAGGTAAGAGACCTCAGACACATGTACACTACAGGTAAGAGACACAGACATGTACACTACAGGTAAAGGACCTCAGACACACATGTACACTACAGGTAAGAGACCTCACACACATGTACACTACAGGTAAGAGACCTCACACACATGTACACTACAGGTAAAGGACCTCAGACACACGTACAGCAAGGAACCAATTTTCCCCCAGAGAAATTTGAAACTTGGTGATTTAATAATTGTGAACATGAGGCTATTGGTCCACAATAACTCTGCGTGCTATTTTTGTATTTAGAAAAAAGTTTGTTTTTCTCTTGACCTCTATTAGAAGTTGGCTGGTTATTACAAGGACAAGTGTATTTTAACTCACGCCTCTCAGCCCCTGTGGGAATATGTCAGAACGTCCTTGGAACGTCCTTGAAAAAAACACCCAAATTGTGTTTGCAAATGTGGTGTATTTTTCTATCATCCAGGAGCACTCATTGAGGAAAACATATGGCTGATGCATAATGGTCTGTTCATGATTACAAACCATGAGGCAGGAACAGGTTATAGGTTGAACTTTTAGTCCCGCTCCATTCGTCATTTCTGCCTACTACTAAGATTACTTTACTAAGATTCATGGGAAACCATGTCAGTAGTTTCTGTTATACCGTACTTCTTTAGTGAGAGAATGTTATGTTAATGAATAGATTATATTTTACAGTCTCAGTCTTCTACTTATTTAGCAGCTTTTACTATAAGATACATTTTTTTAGACTACACCAGTATTTGTCTTGCTGTTGTGGCCAATAATGGATATTGAGCTTTTAAAATCTATGCTACAGACAGTATGATTATTTATAGTGAAGTACACAAATAGACTTAATCAGTCTGTAAATTGGGCCTTTAATTGGATGTAATAAGACAATCAGAATTTTGTTTTTCCTGATATTATGAAACTGATCCAACAAAATTGTTAGCATCAGCACTGATATTTGATACTAGTATGGGTATCGGGGCGTCCTTACTGATATACCATCCCAAATGTAAATAGCATTTATCTTGAATATAATACATTAAAATCAGGTACAGGCCCTTTAATTTGTCCTGATCTTCAAGTGATAGTTCAAGTGTGTGCCCCCTTAGTCCCATATCCCCGAAGTTGGTGACGTATTGTAATGGATGTAAGCACGTACCCTCGGGTTTGTGCCGCGTCCACGCGCAGCTAATGCATTGTTCCTTTGTGTCCTTCACTTTGACATCTGCTTTAATCTGTCCCCGTGGTGATAGTGTGATGAAGTCAGCCCAGAATCTCTCTATGGCAGCATGACACAAAACACCATGCAGAGATTATATTAGAGCTTTCAACATTAAAGGGCATATGACAGGTTTGGTGAGAGATAGTGCCTGTATACCTGTGTAAGTATTTAACTACTCATGGCTTTACATCAGTTAAGTTCCTGTTTGTAAAGAGAAGTTGCAGAAAATGACTAAATACAAGAAATAGTACATAATTTTACATAAAATAAAGCTGTTATTATTTAGTATTTATTAGTCTAATCAAATCTAGTGTGCAATTTAGACACATTTTGGCCCTTGTTAACACATTATGGTTGCTAGATAACCCGTTATGGAATTACCTCTTTCATATCTGCTGCAGTGTCCAATCCTTTATACACAACCAACTGAAACAGTTTAAACTTAAGTCTGTTCTTGGGTGAGAGAATTTGTTACATTTGAATTGTGATTGGAATAATTGCTCCAAAAAATAATTATAATTATAAAAAACATAATTATAAATAATAATGGTGTAATTAAAGACACTGTACCAGATTTTTACAGTTTTAAAAAACACGAAAAACAGAACAAGCTCATTTTAAACCGTTTGCAATGGTCCAAAGTTCTTCCTCACTTCCCTTATGTGTTCTGAGCGTCTTTATTGTTCACCATGATGAGTTTAAAAACACATTTCACAACTGACACCAGAGCTGAGTTTTCCCATCACAGTAATGCTAATGCTAGCAACTAGCATGCTAACATGCACTTCCTGATCCGACAATAAAATACTTTCCAATTAAATGCAGACAGCACATACCAAGAGCTGCTTACACTATACATCTATGTACACTATATATCTCTGCTGGGGCAAGACAGACTTTGCTCAAATAAGGTACGGGAACCTTTTTAAGAAAACATTTTATTCAATATAGTTTAGATTTTGTGAATGATCTGAGCATGTATTCTGCCCAAAACACCTGGAGCAAAGCCATTTATGTACTGTATGTATATCTAATGATCAGTTCTTGGTCATGTTATTACTACTGTTTATCACAGGTTGGTAACACTCACTTACATTTACTCATTTACTTGAGTAAATTTAAAAAGAAATTGTACTTTTCAGAGTACTTTTCTAGCAGAAATATATTTTTATTGAAGTAACAGTACTCTTGAGTAAAGCTTTGGTTACTCTTCCCGCTTTGAGTAAGTCCTTTTACAGTCCATTATTTAAGGTTTTGCTCATCCAGTTACGTCAACTTCAAAACAGAAATGATATGTTGCATTCTGACAGTTATTTGAGTAGTAGTTTTCTCACATGTTTTACTCTTGAGTCATTTCTTGGACAACTACTTTTTGTACTTGGGTAATATTATTTTAAAGTAACATTATTATAATTGTATTATTTAATTATTATATTTTTTGGCTGTTCTACCCATCTCTTCTTTATTCATATTTGTCTGGTTGTGTTGACGTGCATTTGCTGTTCCTCTGACGGGCTCTAGACGCTCGTGCGTATGGATGGTGTGGGTTGCAGGCAGCAGAGAGAGTGCTGTGTAAGTGCACAGAGCTGTCAGTCTGTGCTTGATTCAGCAGCTCTGCTCTTGTGGGAATCAGCCATTTAACCAGTTAGAGCAGAACATTTGTGCTGCAAGAACAGGATTCTCCTGCTTATTTCTGAGTCTTTGCAATGTAGACACTTAAAGGCTCTATACCAATTTTCCCCCATGTATTTGAGCCCCAGAATAGATATACTGCATGAACAACTCTAGAGGTTAAAATAAGTCTGGTGTGTATGGTCTGTGTTTTCTTGTTACATTTTCAGGAAGTGTGTGTTAGCATGGTAGTGGTTAGCTTTACCATGATGGTAAAAGTCAGCGCTGGTCTCTGAGAGTTGTGAAAAGCGCCATGAATAATTAGGACTTTATGATCTTTTGACCATTTAATAATGCCTCTTCCTCATCATGATCTTACTCAGAGCTGTATTTAATTCATGCACATTTGATATTAGAGGGGTCAAATATGGATGTTTTTAGACGATAAGCGATATTTAAACAAATCTATGTGCATTTTATTTGTCATGTCTGTTTAAAAAGACAAAATCTGATGCTCTGAGGCCAAATATGGGCTAAACGTTCCTTACCGGACCAATACCGATATCTAGAGTAACCCATACCCCACTGATTATTTGATTTGATTGTCCCAATGACAATTGATGATAATTTATCTGAAATATGCTAAATTGTGCCAGAAGTGAAAGTACTGCACAAATCGACTCGTTGGTGTCCTTTGTGTTATTGTCCATTGTCCACATACACCTCATCTCTGGGTCAGAGAATGAGACACAACAATTTTGAACCACTGACCTCTTTCTTTCCTTCTCTCTTTCTGTCTGCTCTCACCACCAGCACCACCCTCCCCCAACTCTGCCTCTTTCTCCTGTTTTACCATCTCCTCATCCCTCTCCTCTTTTCTCTCATCTTGTCTCTCCTCTCTGACTCCTCTTTTTCTCTCTCACTCACACTCTCTTTCTGTTCTTTCCTTTTGTCCCTCTCTCCATTTCTCTCCCTTATATGCTCTCTTTCTTCCCTCTGCCTCTCCTCTCTCCTCCTCTCTGCTCCTGACCTTGATATTATTGTGCTGCCCTCTGCTGTCATTTCAGATATAGATTACTAAAGTACTGTTGTGTTCTGGCTGATTCTGCTTTTAATTCCCTCTCCCTCTGTCCCTTATCTCTTTCTCTTGACTCTCTCGGCTCTCTCCTGTTCTCCCCCCCCCCCTTCTTCCTTTCTGTCTCTCTCTTTCTTTCTCCCTCTCTCCCATCCCATCACAGCAGTGTGTGGATAATCTGAATCCCAGATTGGGGCAGACCCTCGCACACGCACAGACAAGCACACGCACACACAGACAAGCACATGTACATGCACACACACACACACACACACACAGCACACACACACACAGCACACACACGCACACACAGACAAGCACACACACACACAGACAAGCACATGCACACACACACACAGACAAGCATATGCACACGCATGCACACATACAGTGACACACATGGGTCCACACAAACTCTGGCCCTGACACACACACACACGCGCGCTAGCCATCTCACACACACACTCGCTGACCCTCTCCCACACACTGGCCGTCTCTCTCTCTCACTCACACACACACACACACACACGCTTGCCCTCACACACACACACACACGCTGGCCCTCACACACATACACACATACACACTTGCCCTCACACACACACACACACACACACACGCTGGCCCTCACACACACACACACACACACGCTGGCCCTCACACACACACACACACACACGCTGGCCCTCACACACACACACACGCTGGCCCTCACACACACACACACACGCTGGCCCTCACACACATACACACACACGCTGGCCCTCACACACATACACACACGCTGGCCCTCACACACATACACACACGCTGGCCCTCACACACACACACGTTGGCCCTCACACACACACGCTGGCCCTCACACACACACACACGCACGCTTGCCCTCACACACACACACACACGCTGGCCCTCACACACACACATGCTGGCCCTCACACACACACACACACACTCACTACATTCACATGCACCCCAGGAACACTGGATAACGGGGCAGGTCCAATCCCAATAACAGATCTGCAGAAGCCAGTACGTACTGACACCTGTTGCAATTTGACATTAGGCGCAGACTAGAAGAGGCATTCAACTGCTTGGGGTAAGAAACAACCAGGCAAATATTAGACATATGTTTGGAGTCACTCATCAGCAGCAATGACAAACTATGGCCCCTACACTGTGGACTAGCACATGTTTCATTGTTTTGGTCCTCTATGTTGGAAGAGTGGAAGCAGCCCTACCAGAGCTTCTGTCTGTTTATTTTGTATGCCAGAGAACAAATGTCCGAAATTGAAATTGATTTTTTTTTGTGTTGATACTTGCTCTGAGAAGTATCTAGTTTCAATTCTAGTTTTAACATCGACAAGTATCTGATTTTCAGTACTTTTGACAACTCTGCTGCATGTAGAATGGGAAAGTGGACTGACAGACACACACTGACCCTCACGCACACTGACCCTCACGCAGACTGACCCTCACACACACTGACCCTTGTGCATCCAGAGCAGGTCACCGGGGCAGGGATCTCTTATCAGGGACCAGGTCGACCCAAAGCTTCAAAACAAGTGTTGCCTCATTTGAACCAGGAAGTCCTTGCTGCAGTAACCAGACACAAGCCAGACCCATATCTCTAGGATTCTAGTTCTGCACTTTATTAATGTGGGACAGCCTGAGAAGCTAGCTAGTGGTTATTTCTTCTACAAAAACATCTCAGAATTTCCATTAGCAGTCAAATTATACATCTGTGCATGAAGGTCTCTCCTCCATTTTATTCCCAGAAGATAAGTTCTGACAATTTATATCTACCACAGTTAAAAATGAGCAAGATGTCCTCCTATCCCTTGTACTGCTTTCCCCTGTGCTTATGTCTTCTTGTCCCTGTCATTCCCCAATTTGAGTCATTTGCCTAATTTGCATCAGTCATGCTAGTTGTCCTCAGGTCCCCCCACCCTCCTCTCCCCATGTCCCCCTGTCCCCTCTCCCTCTGCCCTCCACTCCCTCCTGTATCCTCTTCTCTGTCCCTATGTCCCTCCGTCCTCCTGCCCCCTGCCCTCCTCTTCCCCTGTCCCAATTACCTGTCCAGAACCACAATCTTTACAAAGACGAGTGGATCTGGAGCCATATCCTGTGTATCTGATATCAGACGGCGTGATGGACAGTCAATTTATCAATCAAAGAGACGCACGGTCCGTTTGTGTAAACAACAAACAGCTGCTTACATGTAAAGAGGGGAAAAACAACACAAAGGGCTGAGAAACTTCTCAGAATCAACAATTGAAGCACCAGACTATTAGGCCTCAGGTATATTTTCTTCTGAATGTTAAAAGAATTTTGGAGACGTCTTCTGCATTTTAGACACCTCATGCAAATGAGCAGTTATGGTTGGATCGTCTTCTATTCCAGACCCTTCTGGATTTGAAAAGAATGTAGAAGGGACTGACTGCTCGGGCAACTGTCCCAACGTTCTCCTGTCTCTTACCTTCCTCTCCCCTGTCCTCAAATCATCCTGTCGCCCTTTCCTCCTGTTTGTCCCCGTGTGCCCTGCCCTCCTGTCCCCATGTCTTCTCACCATTCTGTCCCCATGCCTCCTGTCCGCCCGTGCTCAGCTTACACAGGTCTGATTTGTGATGAATATTTCAGTTGGGGCAGGGCGTTTGTGGTTGGGTTGTGCGAGGCCTTTGGAGCTGGGCCTAAGTGCTCATTGTCTGGCAGTAAAACATGGCTCAGGTTTCCTCTGCTCAACAAACCTCCAGTGAGCCGTTATGAGGGGGAGAGGGCGCCACCTACACTTTGCTATGCTCATCGTTTGTGATATGTTTGCCTGTATGCCTATGGTGGAATGTTCAGTAGTTACCATGGTGACACAAAGCACACACTAGCAAACACTGCCAACAAAGTTTTAATATGGTCTAAAAACTCAAGAAAAAACTGATTTAAACATTTTTAGCAGCCTGTTATCAGTCCGAGCGTTCATGGTCCTTTATTTTTAATTAATCGTAGCACCTCACCTTTCAAGACACAAAAAGTGTTTTACAGTGAGCTCCCTCCCCAGTAGGAATAAAAACACCTGTTGAATAAATGCAAGATTTGTCAAAGCATGTCTTTTACCCAGGCAAGAATGTCTAAAGAAGTGGACTAAATGAGTATGACGTCACCCACAGCATTTGGCTCCAGTCAAATAAAGTTCACAATACTGTTAGTGGTTATGGTGCAAATTTGGAGTCAGACTCAATATTAGGAATAAGATATTTCAAATGGCCAAAATCGCAAAATAAAAACCCCAGGATCATGTAGATCAGTTTAATACAAACATTTTAAGACGAGGCTCAAAGCAACAGTTGGAGAGACGGTCCACAACCTTCCAGTGGAAGTCAGTGGGAGTCAGGGTCAGCAGGAGCCGGAAGAGCCACATGCAAACGTCGTATTTGGAACACGCACTCTAGCGCGGTAGCATTTCTGTATACAGTCTATGATCTGGGGCCATATCCTGATTATCCTGATTGTCCAGACCCAGACCCTGCTGTGTTCAAACAGGATGTTTGAGCAGGATGTAGGAGGGACTGGCTTCAGCAGGTAAATGATTGGACTGAATTCTGTGTGGTCATGTTCTGTTTTAGTGAGTCACATGATCACTGACCTCTCCAAAAGACTGACTGAACACAGGCTTCCCACCTTTTTCTTTCCTCTCTGACTCGTTCTCATCTCAACCCTTTCTCTCCCTTCATCTCTCTCTCCCGCTCCACTCTGTCTCTTCTCTCCCACCTCTCCTCTCACCGTATCTCTCTCCAACATGTCTCCACTATTTCTGTTTTCCTCTTCTCTCGCTTCTACATTTGTTTCTTCACATCTTGTCTTTCTTTTTCTCCCTCTGCTGGTCTTCTTCTTCCTCAATCCCATCCCCTTTTCTCCCTGTCTTCTTCTCTTTTCCCTCACCTCTCTCTTCTTTCCTCCCTCTCTTCTGCCCCCCTCACCTCGTCCTCACCTCCTCCTCTCCTTGTCTTCTGTACCTCTTCCCTGTATACAGTAGTGAGGATGAGGAGGAGACGTTCACCTCTAGTGAAGGTGACCACAGGCGCCACAGTGCAGGCTTAGCTCAGTGGGGACCCCCTCTGGCAGAGTGTGGTACTGCTGCTGGCACTTGTGTCATGTGGATGTGGAAGTGACTCTTAATGATGAGGGAGATTAGAGATTATGTGGAGAACTATACATCATCTGAGTGAAAACGATATATCTGTGGTATTTTCTGCTTGAATTTAAAGCGTGTCAGTGCCCTGGTCTCTGTCTGTGCCAATCATTGTAATAATTGAGATTTTGTTTTGAGCCCTCTCTCTGAACTGTGTTTCTGACCCCTCTGTGTGCTTTGTGTTGCAGGATGTACCCCATAAAGGAGGTGCCAGTGGAGGCTGAGGCGCTCACAGACTGGCTGTACCAGAGGTTTGTGGAGAAGGAGCAGCTGCTGGAACACTTCTACAACACAGGTAATTGTACCTTGTATCACAGTACAGCATTTTACCCCTGATCAGTTATTGGTGCTATTATAGCTGAACACATTGCTAATAAAAGCTAACTGTTGGGTGCTCTTAGGATTTCAAAATTCTAAACAGCTGATAGGATGAAAGCTGCTGATGGCCTGTCAGCCAAACACTTGTGCTCTATTGGAGAATAGTTTGTGGGCTCAGCGGGTGCAGAGCGGCCACTAATTGAACTTGCATCCGGACAGAGGGGGAGTGTCTTTTCCAGGTTTTATTATAGATCCTTCAATCTGGCCAATAAGTGGAGTGGATGTGAGTGTTTGGGGCATATTAAAGCGCCTGATCTGATCTGTTATGTTTTTTCCTCATCACAAACCTCTTTTGTTATTCGCCTATGTTTAACACATAAACCCTGCATATTTAGACTGAGTTCCTCTCTCAAACAGATAATACTCTGTTCCACTTTTTGATGTCATGTAGTTATACAGGAAGTGCTCCTGTGTTTTTAAACTCCATACACATCATGGATCTATTGCTAGCTTGTAGCTGTCTCCAGTTGACGTAGAGGTCACTCACTGGTATTTCAATGAAAAAATCCCTCCGGCCAAGAAAGGATTTTTTCTTGTAGAGAGCAATGTAATCACAAACTGCTCCTGTTTGACTGACAGGGCAAATACAACTTTCAAAAATGTCAGATTTTGCAGCAATTTTTACCTATTTTTAGATCATAAACTTTTCTCAGCTCAAAATCCTTCAGTTGTTTTAAAACGCTTTAATGATCGTTTGCTCCTGCTCCACTCTAGCTCCTCTCGCTCTGATTGGGCAAAGTGATCACGTGATACACGAGACCGCGCTTGTTCAATCAGCCCAGAGCCACTGGAGGTACCTTGCCGGGCTAAAGGCAAATCTGGAGTCATGAGCCACTGAGTTTAGCCCGTTGACATGAATGGTCAGCCATCTTGAAACCTTGGGGCTTGATGCACCTTCACTTGAATCATTTTGTTAGTGTCAGCCCTAGAAATGCCAATCTCTACTAAACAGAAGGTCAAAACACCTGTTGTCATGAAGTAGTAGTTTTCAAGTTATTATAAGATGGAACTGAGCTTTGGAGATGTAGAGAAACTAATAATAAAGGTTTGGTCAAAAAATGTGTGAATGAAACAAAGCACAAGTCCAGGTCTGCTTTTGAGACCGAAACAATATTCTAACATGACTTAAAGCTCATAAGAGTCAGTTTTGTGTAATATAAGACCTTTAAACACCAGTGAATAATCATAGAAGCATCTCAGCCTCCTCTCAGACTGACATGAGGCACGGGTTACATCACCAGTCCATAACACTGCTTTAGCGCCCACCTTATCCTCTGCTCTCTCCTGCAGGTCTGTTCCCTCCCTCCCCTGGTCAGAAGGAGGCGGTGTCGCGTCAGATGACCTTGGATCCGGTGTGGCTGTGCGCGGTGCAGTCGTTAGCATTTGCTTCCGGCTACATGTGGTTCAGCGCACTCCAGTACCTGTACTGCTGCGTGTTCTGAACGCCTCCACCGGACCACCGCCAGGCCCGGCATCTCAGCCCGGACTCCTCCCCCTGCGAGTGAATGTACATTTGACCAAGCGGGACAAGCAGACACTGGGATCGCTCTCCTCATCTCCTCCACCGCGTAGGCTCAGGATGCTTTCTTCGATTTTAGCCCATAGTTACAGACTGTTGTGTAACTGTAGTTCCATAGGGGTCCTGTAGGGGTCAGGTTTTTACGAGGAGCTCCATCCTAACTCCTGTTCCTCCATTGCACTAAGGATCGACGATACTGCCCTGCTCCTCCACATTTCAATCTTTGTGTTTTTCTTTCTGGTGGCCATTTTTATTTCGGAATCATGTTTACATTGGCTCCCTGTGCGAAAGGGAAAGACAACAACCATGCACTGGCCATTCGGATTCTGAGATTTCTGTTTTGGATTTGTTGGAACACAAAGGATTTTTCAGCAAATAATTAAGTCGCTTCACAATTGCCATTTTGGAAGAAGGTGGCAGAGACTCTACCCATAGATTTACAAATATTTAAGCCATATGCTTAGTGTGTCAGGACAGTGAAAATATAACTTTTTTATATAGGAACACATTGGACATAGTGGGGCTTGTTCTAGGTGTCATTACTGTACATTTACAGCATAACCTGCCTAATGAGTGCGAGTGGCGTGTGCGGCCATTTTAGTTCTGTTTTAATGTCCCATGTTCTAATGCTTTGTTAAATGTTGTACAGAAAAAAATATGAGGAAGTTTTTTTTGTTTTTTCATTGCTAAAATGAACTTGGTCCTTGTCATGTTTTAGCTGATTGTGAATGTTTTCTGAGGACAACCATAGAACTCTCCCTTCATAAACCAGTGTTATCCTGATTATGGACTGAAGTCAATCTTGTTTGGGTCACTGTGAAAAGCCCAGTTGCAAATCTCAATACAATGCTGCTATGGCTGGGTACCGTTTTTAAAGGTACCAGTACGATACCTAAAAACGTTCAAGTGCATATGACAGGCTTTCATGTTTTCCTCATTCTGACTTGGTTTGGTTGGGTAGGGTTTGTGGTCAATATTTATCATAGTTTCATGCCAGTGAAGTGGACAAAAACTTGAGGAATACAAAAGTACAAAAATATGGGAAGTAGGGGTGAGTTCTAAAACAGAATTTCTCCACCTACATCATCAACACGGAAAATTCCATCCAAAATGCAGAGTTACAATTTACACACAAGGAAGACCATTTTTTGACAGTGTTAAACTCCATTTAACAAAATGATGCTGTTGTGATTTATTTTTATTTGTCTAATTATAACTATTACGTAATTTTGTCATTTAGTTGTTTTTTGTTAACATTATGGCTGTTAGGTGAACCTATGTCCAATCAGGAAGTTACATGCTAGAGTTCATTCTAGAAATTCTAGAAAAAGGTTTGGTGAAATGAGTACTCCAACCTGTTAAATGCAATATTTAAAATAGGATATTTAAAACTGAAAAGGTACTGGAAAATTATTGTCCAGATGCTGTACTAGGAAAAGTGAGACGTACCCAGCCCTAGTGCCATCCTATGAAACGCAAATACAAGTGCGTATACTTATGGATGAGTCCTAAATTCTGCCAAACTTTTTTTTTTTTTTTTTTCACATTTTATTATGTCATTTTTTTTCAGAATCTTGTGTGTTTTTTGTGTTTATAAATTGGAGTAATCAACCATATTGAGTCTCAAAGTCTGGAGGTATAAGGAGCAGTGTGATTGGCCTTACAGGTATCCACACATCAGACTCTGCTCCTGCAGCCTGTGTTTGTATCAGAAAAACCTGACTCTAATTGGAGCAGTCTTGTGTGATGTCACCAAGTACATGAAAGGCCACTAAACGCAGCACAAAGTTAGATTTAGGCATTTTTGTGGATTTTCTGTTTAATTCCACTTTAAGTACAGAACACAAACATAAGGTGTACTTGGTTGACAGTCTGAAAAACCAGTACAGTGCAAAATATTAAAAGTGAATGACTTGCTAATCAATACTACTAAAATTTAGCCTCTCAAAATTCTCTGGTGTGTGGGGGTGGCACATTTTCTGCTCACAAAATCTTAAAAAGTGCTGTGTCCTCTGTTGGTTTACATGCAGCACTACAGCCTTTCAAACTTGCGTGTTCATTACAAAACTACTGCAAAGTTTATATTTTATGATTCTATTTTCTTTCTTTCTTTTTTTTTAAACAAATTTAATGTATGATTGTTCATAAAACCAAAATTTGATTGGAACATGTTTACAAAAATTGACAATCTGGGGTAAGAACACTACATTTGATTATTGTACTGTTTGAAATATACAAATATGCAATCAGTTGTTTAAAATTGTCTTGCAGTATGTAACCAGGCAACACTCTGTAATGATCCAATCAGAGACTAACACAACTGGGCTTTTTCACTGTGAGGGAAACCTGAGCGGACTGGAACTTTAGGGTAGAAATTAGAGTTTTGTCATATTGTTGTAACCATGACAACAGAAGGCCTAACTGATGCTGGTAAGCCACATCTGTACCAGCCGCTCAGATAACCTTCAGATTTGGAAGTGACACAAATGACACCATGTTTATTTTTCTTCTCATTTTGAATGAGAACTGTTCCCATTGTCCAAAGGGAAGACTTAGGAATCATCATAGGAGTCTGAACCATTCTCGAAATCTAGAGCTGTCTGTAAGTTTGAGTTTCCTTTAATTCTAGCGCCATTTTCAACACCCAGAAATCTGTGCTGGAATAAAAACTTCTGAAAGATCCCACATTCTGTCTGTTTTTGCTGGCTTGGGTTGTCATAGTAACATAGAGAGGATCAAGAGATCAGGAATCAACCTCAAAATCAACAGCCTCTTTACAGAGAGCAGACGACAGGGTAATGACTCTACCACTGTAACACAGTTAGAACATGTATATTGTAACTCTGGTGACGTCACACTCCCTTAGTCCACTTCTTTATACAGACTATGGATGTGGGTTAGACTCCGGGCAGATTCCTGGAGTGCAGTAACATTAGGTCCTCTGTAACCTCAGATGTCTCCAGCTCACTGCCTCATGTTTAAGTGTCTGAACAGGGCTCCGGTTACTGCCTCCCCCTCTGTGTCCTCACTACACCTTGTACTATTTTCACTGAAGTAACAGTACTCTTACTTGAGTAAAGGTTTCGGTTACTCTTCCCACTATGAGGAAGTGTGCAAGTTATTTGACCTTTATTTAACTGCTGAGATTAAGAATCTTTTTCTAGGGAAGTCCTGGCCCCACAGGGAACACTACTATAATATGTTTATATGTTTATATGTAAAATGTTTGAATGTTTTTAGTGGTAGGGAAATCTATGCAGTCATGGGGAGAACATGCAAACTCCATACAGAAAGGCCCTGCTCTGCTCCAGAATTTAATCCAGAACATTCTTGCCGTGAGGTGAGAGCAAAGTGGTCACTCTGCCACAGTGCTGCCCAAACTGACAAAAGCTTTATGTTGACAGTTTGAAATAATTTCAACATTTGTGTTTGTGCTCCTTCAGATATGATTTAGTTCTTTCTTCTTTGAAAATAACATTTTTGTGCAGTATTTATATTTATTTATTAGTATTTGTCCTTCAAATGACATTAACTTCAAATTATAAATCAGATATTATGTCCCAACAGTTACTCTTTCTGTTACTATTACTTGAGTAGCACTTTTCACAAATCATAGACAGCGTTCTTCGATTTGATGATACCATAATGTCAGATGGAGAGCAGGGGTCTATAGAACAAAACAAAAACATTAAACACTAAATTCCGGAGGCAAACGTGATGTGGAACATAATGTGATTTCAATGGGGAAACTGGGATTAACTTCAGAATAACACAAAATAAGAACTTAATAAGAACTGTGGGGAAATTTTGAAAACCACTTGAATAAATGTGAGTGATGCCAGAGCTCAGTTTAAAAACATTATTTTAGAGGTTATGAGAGTCTTTATGACAAAGGAAAAATACACATTTTTTTAGGTTTTACTACACAAATCCTACAGAAATGATGAGTCAATTACAGTTTTGAACTTCATCTAAAATATATTACACATTTCATCATAAATTATACTTTTTGTGAAGCTCAAAGTTTTGAAGTTAGAAATGTGTAAATTAACTAATATGTGTGCCCTTGAAACTGAATATTGTTTATTTTTTTGTTATAATGTTGTAAAACCATTAGAAGTTACATAATTTAATCAGGTAATAATTGAAACTGGATTATGTCCACTTCACTTTGCCTCGTCTCCATTAGAGAATGGAACTCTCTGATGACATAGGAGTTAAATGTGTATGCTGCTTTCATACACCGTCACAACATTCTACAGGCCAATCATACTGAATACACACAGGGGCCGCTAAACTGAATGGAGTTCAAATCCAGATTTCTGCTGTAATATATAAAGTTCCAGGGTCTAGTCACCTAAAAGAAATGTAAGAATTTATCAACATGTATGAATTTATCTTTCTGATATTTCGTGGCAATGTACAATATAATCAAGAGGAAATCTGTCTCTGACCCCATCAGAGTATGACATCATCACACTCAGGAATCTGAAAACCACCAGTGTACCTACGCTGTTTATAAAAGAAAGATCTAAACTTATCTACAAATGTTGAACCTTCTCATTATTTATTTTGGCTCCACAAACTTGTCATATTCATTTTCTGTCTTAAAGTCCTTTCACCTGACGACACTCATGGGTTTGGGGTTGAATAATGGCACCATTTTCTGAAATGTTTTATGGAAAATGTAATGCTGACAGAGAAGTTTCATGTTTCATGTGGATAGGCCCAGTAATTACAGCGACATGAACCATGACCCAGGCCACACACCTGCAGGCTGACTATTGTAGACACAGTGGTACACTGTCATTGTTGAGTGTCTATAATCAAACTAAAAGGCTGAAGGTTTGCTTCATATTGCTCAATGACAATATGAAACAATATGAAGCCATGCTTCTCCCAGGGTTGTACCGCCTCCAGGAACTTCTCTGGCTCATACCCACAACTTAGAGGAGACCCTGGCCTTTGAGAAGACAGACTGACAGCACCCCCCTGTGTCCCGGAGGGGAGTGTGCAGGCAGGAGGCACACAGCCAAAGATCACCTCCATATGCATGAACTTGAATATGGAAAAGCAAAAAGCCCAAGAGCTTTTGTAAGGGTCACTAATATAGGCCTGTGAAAGCAAACAACAAGAATGGATTAATCCTTTCTGTGCCTTATTCACTGTGTATTCAGTGGTACAGTGTCACAGCTGTCCTGGGGCAGACTGACAAAAGTGAGGCTGCCAGTCCCCATCAGCCTCTCCCAGCACCACTCACAGCACGTGGATTTTGATTAAGTTAGGCTATAACTGAAGTAATACTAACTGCATTAATTTAACACAGAAAAAACATCCTGTAGTAAACATTTATGATTTCATGTGTATTTGTTGGCGTGGGCTCCAGGCAGGCGTCATGTCTGCACGCTCGGTAGTGCAATAGTTCCAGGGCATAATCAGATCCTCTTTCTGTTGGAGGTTAAGTATCCAGGAATGATTGTGGAGTATCTACCTAAGCTTATATAAATGTTCTAATGGGAGTTATCTGGTATATTTTTTCCCCACACACAACTGAAGCCCTATATAATAATATTTAATACATACTGGTGCATCTGAAATGGATATAGTTAAAATGTTGATTTTGGTTGAAAACACAGCATGTTCTTGGGACTAGTTATAAAAGTTGATCAGGTTCAACATTCAGTTTTCCTCTTGTATACAACATAACCAATAGGAAATCTGTCTCTGCCATATCTGGGAGTATGACATCATCACATTCTACAATCTGAAAACCACAAATGGCAAATATGACTGAACTCAGGTCTTACCTCTGCTATATTTTTTACAAGCCAGCTATACTTTCACTTTGTGTCTTTAATCTAATTTTGGATTATTTGAGACTAGAAATTACTCAGTTACATCAGTTTTTGTTTTTTATCTGAAATGTATGCCATTTAGTGTGGACAAAAAGGAATTTCACAGTTTCCCCAGTGAATATGATACACTTTGGGATTTTTGATTTGAACTTTTGCTTAACTGCTTGCGAACGATCACTGGAGAGAGCCACATTTGATTAGAACATTAGTATTGTTGTCCAGAGCGTCTATGGTGCGTTTTCCATTCACGTGACATGTCCCATACCTGCTGGGGGGAGCGCGCCCTCCAGTGTCCACACAGCGCACTGCACACTCTTCCCGCTCCTATCGCGCGCTCCGGTGCCTAGCAACGCCTCCAACTGTAGCCCGTCGACAGCCAATCACCGAGCGCTTCGGAGCACGGCTGTCCAATCAGGAGTGGCTCTTTAGGCACCAATTTAAACCGAAGCGAAGCACTTCCTGTTTGGTCTGCTGCGCTACAACGAACAACAAACGCACCGAAGCGAGCCAAAAACCTGCAAATCTGTCTGACAAAGAGTGTGGCCTCCAGAGCGCAGGAGCAGGGCTATAAAAACTCCTCTAATTCTTGTGTTGCGGGCCAGAGCTGACGCTGCGTGAGGACACGGACACGGACCCGCCGTTGCCGGAGCGATGCCTTCCCGTGTGGAGGACTACGAGGTGCTCTTCACCATCGGCTCCGGCTCGTACGGACGGTGTCAGAAGATCAGGCGCAAATCAGACGGAAAAGTGAGTGGTGTCCTCAGGAAGAGTCCAATATGTCAGATAAGTCCAAACGTGCAGCAGATCATATGACACTATTTTCCTCTTCACAAACATACACGGGATTGTGTTTTGATTCATGTTTAAAACAGAAATCCTGCATATTTACTCTGAGTTGTTCTTAAAAAACCCTCTGCAAAGTGGTAATACAGGAAGTGCTCCACTGGGTTTTTACTCCGTACACCTTCACTTAAATAATTTGGATCATTTTAGCCCCGGAATCTGTCAGTCTCTAATCTCTAATGAACTAAAGGTAAAAGGTAACAGCTAATTTAAACTACCACTACATACAAAGGAGAAATGATATGTCTCCTTCGCTGTGGATCCTACCTCCACAACAGAGATTACAGAGATTACCTGAATACCACTACATGGCAATACATAACATCGCCATCGAGACAAGAAAGTGGCAAATCCCCCACCAGAGAAGTTAAATAGTGCCCCTTTAAGTGTATGCAACTATGTAACCTGCTTGTTTCCGTGGCGATGTTATTGTTGTGCCTATGTTCCACAGTATGTTATTTAGATTATCAACCTCAAGGCCAAGTTACAGGCCAGATCTGTGAAAAGGTGACCTCGCATGGATAAATTGACTGATCATATGATATAGATTAATAAGGATTTTTATGGACAACAACAGAAAAGAGCAATGGATGAGTGAGTTAGTCAAATTTTTTTGCAAAAAAGCAGATTGAACTCATGATTGAAGATTAATGGGTCTTTATAGAAATACATTGTCAACTATTACGTGCATTTTTTTTTTCTCAGCAAAAATAGTTTTTGCATGAACTCCTGTGCAGGTGTAGTCTAGTGAGCGCAGTCCGATAAACAGAGATATGTAATAGTTCTGAGAGCTTTCGCCACACCCTCTTTTTTGTCGATACTTATTGAGAGGACATGTCTTTAGCTGACTCCAGTCCTCCCTGTGTCCCCTCCTCAGATCCTCGTGTGGAAGGAGCTGGACTATGGCGCAATGGGGGAGAGTGAGAAGCAGATGTTGGTGTCAGAGGTGAACCTTCTGAGAGAGCTGAAGCACCCAAACATCGTGAGGTACTATGACCGCATCATCGACCGCTCCAACACCACGCTCTACATCGTCATGGAGCACTGCGAGGGCGGGGACCTGGCAAGCCTCATCAGCCGCTGCATCAGGGACAGGTCTGGCACTAATGCTCAGGGGCACCAAGGGCAGCTTCTTTAGGGCAACTTGGGACTTTTTCTAAAAAAAAATAAAATAAAATAAAAAGTCACAGGTTGCAGGGAGACTCACAGCGTCAAAAGAGAATGTGAAATTTAAAAAACATGTTAATATATTGTTTGATGACATGGTGATCTGAATGATCTGAATGTGTTAGCAGTTAATACCCATAGATGTAAAATACCCCCACATTAACTGATGTAAAACTATGATACATATACAACAGGTACTATCCCACAAATTCAATTCATAATTAGAAAAACATGTAAACCTGACATATGCACTTTAAGCTTCATGTTTTGTCTCTGCTCTCAGGCACCACCTGGACGAGGCATTCATACTTCGGGTGATGGCTCAGCTGACCCTGGCCCTGCGCGAGTGTCACAGACGTAGTGATGGGAGGGCCACAGTCCTGCACAGAGACTTGAAACCTGCCAACATCTTCCTGGACAGCAAACACAACGTGAAGCTGGGAGACTTCGGACTGGCCCGCATCCTCAACCATGACACCAGCTTCGCCAAGACCTTTGTGGGGACGCCCTACTACATGTCTCCTGTATGTGCTCCAGTCATTTACATGCATGTCTCCTGTATGTGCTCCAGTCATTTACATGCATGTCTCCTGTATGTGCTCCTGTCATTTACATGCATGTCTCCTGTATGTGCTCCTGTCATTTACATGCATGTCCCCTGTATGTGCTCCAGTCATTAACCTGCATGTCTCCTGTATGTGCTCCAGTCATTAACCTGCATGTCTCCTGTATGCTACATCTACTACTTATGTCACTTTGTTTTTAAACAGGTGTAAACTGTTCTAGAGGTAAATCCTTTTCCCCTGCTAGAATATAATTAACCTGCTCCTCTCTCTGGTCTACTTTACAGGGATACGCGAGTATGGGAGGGCATCTGACACACTGTAATATAGCAGGATGAAAGGGCATCTGACTGATGGGGATATTGGGGAATACTAGGGAATCTGACACACAGGGATATAGCAGGAGGACAGAGCATTTGTCATTAGCAGTCAATGTTGTTTCACCTTCATTTTTGTTTGGAATAAAATTGCATGTACTAACTGGGACACTTTGGTTTCCAGGAGCAAATGAACCGGATGTCCTACAATGAGAAGTCTGATATCTGGTCTCTGGGCTGTCTGCTCTATGAGCTCTGTGCACTCTCGTAAGTATCCAATGTCCTGCTACTTCTTTGGGTAGTTTTCACACTCCATACTTTATTCCTAAATATTGCATTATTTAATGTTTGTGCTCCAAATTACATAAACTTCAAATATAATGCATATGTTGCTTCCAGACAGGCAGTTTAAGTTTTTGTAGTTTTCCTACAACTTTATAATGTGAGATGTGTACTCTGTTTTTTATTCCCCCAAATATCTTTTACTCTTCCTTGAGTAATTCCTTCTTTCTACTAATAGTAATCTAATAATAAGTAATAAAGAATAATCTAGTAATATCACTCTAGTAGTAATTATTGTCTACCCTTCCCACCTCTGACTGTGTGGTGTGTTTGTGATGTGGTTGACCTGTTCCCCATGTGTTCTCAGGCCTCCTTTCACAGCTTTTAACCAGAAGGAGCTGACAGAGAAGATCCGTGAGGGCCGCTTCAGGAGGATCCCCTACAGATATTCAGAGGAGCTCAACTCACTGCTCTGCAAAATGTTGCATCTCAAGGTTCTACTCCTGCATTATTCAACTACACCACACCAGTGTTAGGACCTAGGCTTTATCTGCCCTGCAATATCAGCCAGAAATATCAACCATGGTTGTCAACGCCAAATCTCATCTTATCTCAGAAGCTAAGCAGGGTGGGCCGAGTTAGTACTTGGATGGGAGACAGCTGAAAATACCAGGTGCCACAGTGGGGGAGCAGTGGCTCTGGTGGAAACTGTTCTTGTGTGCTTACAATCGAAATGGAGTTTGCAATTTTAGTATCATGACAACATTACTAAGGAATAGACTTGATACTCAATACAGATTCCAATACCATGATGATTATAAACGGCACTTTTTATTTAGACAGAATGTGATTTTCTACATTAAACCACTTTTCTTTTATAATGCGCCTTATATCTCAGTGGTCCAGGTAGGTCCTATAGTGGTCCATGGGCATATGCTAGTCTATGTGGTAATGAAACTGTGTAATCTGTCACTCATCCAGTGTCTCAGTGAAGGTTTCATGATCATCAGCTGGACACCACCCTGCCCCCTGTGGCATTAGCTAGTAAACAAGGGCAGGGCAGTTTCACACTAAAACTCAGAGCAGGATTAATCCTTACGACTTAAACCAGTCTTATCAAATTGGGTTTCTATTCAGAAGCCATTTTCCAAACACAAACGGTCTCTACATAGTCTATGTGCTCTTATACTTGTTCTGATAGAGTTCAAGCTCATTCTAAAGTTATTCAGGAAAGCTCCATTTCTGTTCTGTCAATGGGACTTTTTTAGTACTGATATTTGTTCAAATGAGTATCTAGTTTACAACCCTATTTCTTAGGCAAAACACTTCATCCACATGGCCTAGTAGAAACTAGTGTGTGTAGGTCTGTCATGATAACAAATCTGAAGCACTACACCAGGGCTGGAAAAAAATTTTTTTCCATGGGGCCACATGAGAAACAGAAAATGTTGTGGAGGCCTGGGCCAAAATGTTTAACTCAATTCATGCATAATATTAATTGTATTTCTTCATAAAAAAAAAAAAAAAACTTTTTAAATATTGTTTTGACGAGCTGGTCAGACTGGTAAGAGTTTATGATTAAGCAATGGAAAAAGTGAGGCTGCCTTACAGAAAATGTCTTTTAAAAAACACCCCTAAAATAAAAGCAATGCAGTTTTAGTCCATGCGTGAGGTAAATTATAAAATATGGTTATTTTGTAATTGCAAATTGGCTTAAATGAGCCGGTCAGAGTCAACCAAAGGGCCGTATGTGGCCCTGGAGCTGGACAATGCCACACACTACACTCTAACACTACACTACTGTACTAGAACTACAGAGATATACTGCAATAAATGATAGTATTGAACCTACAGCCACTGACCCAAAGCAGTAAATCATTTTTGTTCAAGCTACAGTATCATTAAAAAGCCTGAGATGCAACCAATAAATGGCAAAATGAACAGATAATTAGCCATAGCAATTATTTATTTCCCCATCTACTGATCAAATCTTAGATTATTACACAAAAATGGCAAATATTTCATCACTATTGCAAAGAAAAAGTACCCACGATAAACATTGGGCCCCAAACTATATACTGTAGTTCCAACTTTCATATATTTAATGATACGTCGATATAGTAGTAAAATGTGACAGTATATGTGAGTGATTGTTTAGTTTAGAAAACTATTTATCCCCAAGGAGCAATTCAGTTTGCAGTCACAGACTACAGCATAAAACACACACACACATTTCACACAGGGCAGGGACTCGTACAAATATGGGCATCACAGCTGAGCATCAGTGCACATGTGGCACAAAGTGCAAAGGTCAGATGCAAAACAGAACGACAACATTAGAATAGTAAACAAAGGATAAAAAGACACTTGGTTCTGCCTATTTCACCTCTGTGTTTAATAACCGAAGGGCAGAGGGAATAAAGGAATTAGCATATCTATTTGTTTTCCTGCTGAGGGCAAGGTAGCAACTCCCAGAGAGCATCAGGGAGCAACTCTTTTAAAATGTGATCTGAGGTGCCAGTGATACATTGCCTCCTGGAGCACCTGCTGCTCCATAAAGAGCTGAGGTTGGGCATCTGCACACCTGTTATCTTTGAGCAGGTTTTTACAACTTTGATCAGACTGTTTTGTCTTTGACAGAAGATAACCATAAAAAAACAGTACATTCTTTGTGCGTCAATGTATAGTAATTATCATGAGCATTAAGCACTGTTATATTCTAATATGCTCAAAATGTTTTTTTTATCTGAATCTAGCCATCTATTAAATTGTTGTGTTGTTGTGTATTGTGTTCAGGATTACCTGCGCCCCTCAGTGGAGTCCATCCTCCAGTGCAGCCTGCTGTCTGAGGCAGTCACTGAGGAGCAGAGGAGGGCCCAGGAGAAGAGAACGGAGAAGGCCCAGAAGAGGTCTGCAGACTCAGCCTGTCCCCAGCAAACCCCCTTTACCCCCAGCCAGCCCACAGCCAGGGACGCCCAGCTCCAGCTAAGAGAGCAGGCTGTGAGGGAGCGCGAGAGGGCCCTGAAGGAGAGGGAGGAGAGGCTGGAGAGTGAGTCCAATCTGCACACATCACCACTGATCACTGACAAAGAAATGGTTGTGTTCACATGACATCACAACAACATCAACAACAACAGGAGGTCAGAATTCTATGATTGCAACTTGAAGTTTAGCAGTCAAATGGCATTTATTGACCTGGTTTATGGCTTAGATCTCTGGATTTACTGGGCCTGTCCAAATGAAACAAAAACTTGCACAAAGTTCATCGTATTCTCTGTCAGTATAAATAAACAAAAAGGAAATTCTTGATAGTGGGGCTTATACAACCCCAAAGATGTCACATTAATCTGTAAACTTGTTTCACTGCTTTTTGAAGGCCGCACACATAACACATAACACATACACACATACATAAGTAGTCATCACGTTCACATGATGACTACTTATTTCTGAAAGATAAAGGCTGCGGTCGCTCCGGCATCCATCAAAAATACAGTCCAACTGAATGAATCCAGAGCACCACAGCACCTCCACCACAGCACCTTCACCGCACCCCCTCCTCCTCCGCCACCGCATGTCCATTACACAGAGTTGTACTGTATGCAGTTTGAGCACGAGGTTCTATAGGTCCTTGCCCTCCATCTGAAATGATGACATTGTAGGTTCTAGAATGTGAGCACAGCCTATAGACCTGAAAAAGGAAATTTTCCAAAAATACCTCATAACTACTTTTTTTTTTGTTTGTTAACCAAAGAATTTGTCAAAAAAAAAAAAAGTCTGATCACAAAATAATGGCCATTGAATCAACAAGTGAGCTAATTTGTGTTGTTAAACAAGTCCCTTTCAAACATTAAAGTAACAAGCTAACTTTTGCCAACTGCACTTTTCATTCACTGAGCCTTGTATCGATACAAAACATGTAGTTAATGATTCCTCCTCCTTTCCTGGTGCAGTCCTGTTTTACTTTGGGATTAAGATACAATGTATTTCGTGTGTTTGCTTGGTTGGTAGCCCGCTTTCTTTCATACTAATTTACAGACTTGTAGCACTGGGTTTTCCACCATCTTTGAATTCACTTTGTATCTTTTTTGTGTTACAGAAAGAGAACAGGAACTGTGTGTGCGTGAGCAGCTGTCCAGTGAGAAACTCGCACAGTAAATTTTTATTTATGTTTGGAAGCATTTTATTTTTTATAATTTCATAATGTATATATTTAATCTTTTTTTTTTTTTTTTTTTTTTTTTTAGAGCAGAAAGTATATTTAAGACGTACAACCTTCTTCACCAGCAGAGGGAGCTGTCTCCGTTTTATCCCAAAGGTATGGGCACCTGATGACGAGCACAGGACCACCTTCAAAATATTTTAATCTAAAGACCATAATTATTATTTAACTGCATTTTCCCAAGTATTATTTTCTTTATGAATTATGTAATAAAGATATTTTAACTATTTCAATCTATATATTACTTCGCAAGTGACTTCACCCTGGGGGTGCCAAATAAGTTTTAATGTAGTCTGAAAACTTAAGATGCAATGCAAAAAGAGGGAAGTGAGTGACTGAAAAACTGATGGCTAATGCCAGGCCAACTTATGACTAATGTTATTTGAGGGGGACCTATTTAAGTGCACAAAATCAGCTCACCTGTCGTAGTTCCAGCTAAATTCTTTATGGTCAGATTGTGTTTAAACAAAGAACAAATTAAAGTCTAACATGACTAACAGCTTCAGACAGAGATGTACCTTAAAGTTAGCATCAGAACACCAGGTAATGTTGATGACATCAACTGCAAATTATTATTATTAATAAAATGAATATTGTCTTTTGAACAGCCTCTGTGTTTGTGTGTCTTCCCAAATTAGTTCATACTGAATACATTTTCAAATTAATTGAAAAAGTACATTTGTGCAGTAACTGTCTGTTGTCTCATAGATTTGTTGGATAAAACTTCGCCGGGGAAGAAGAAGGTGCATTTCGCCCGGGAGAGCAAAGAAAACGTGAGACCGCCACCAGCCATGTCACAGGAGTTGATACTGAGGAGGCTGCATGCGGCGCACATGCGCGCCCAGGCCCTCAGCAGCGTGGAGAGAGTGTGTCAGACCAAGAGCAGACAGGTCCTAGGCCTCCGATAACCACAGCCACAAGGACTTCTACATACTAACATGAATGTAACATAAGCTAGATTTCATTTCAGAGTAGCAAATATTGTTGTGATTGTTGGATGTTTCGCTGATTTATAAGTTGTGTGTTTCATTTGTTTGTGGTGTGAAAATATTTGATTCTGTACTAATGTAATATTTTATGTTGTATTTTCAGGCAGCTATTTCTCCAAAATCCAATTGCAGAAAATAATTGCAGCTTACTGTTTCTAAGTTAATGTGCACATGGCAGTTTAGAGTTAACATCATTAAGCCTATATATAAGATCTACCTAGCTTTTTTTTCTAGTTTTTGAATTCTGGGGTAGTTTAGTTTTACTTCCTGGTTGGTCAGGGGCAGAACTGTTATCTAGCTACCATAATGTAAACAAGGACCAAAACAAAAGAAAATTGCGAGCATGAATACAGATGAAAATAAATTACATCACTTTCATTTTACTAGATGAAGGTTTAACCAGTCAGAAAAAGGCTTTTCTTGTAGGTAGAGGCATGTTTGAGAATGCACAGCTACTTCCTGCATTTTAGTATTTTTCTTTTCATCTCTTTTTTTTTTTTTCACTTCACTGATGCAAAACTGTGAGATATTTACCCTGTGGTAAATATCCCACCAAACCATTTCAGAATTATAAAATCATAAAAGCCACGTGCACTTTAAAAGGGCTGGGGCTGAGCTGGAGGGCGTGTCTGGGGTGAATGAAGTCTGGGAGTCCCCGCTTAGACTGCTGCCCCCACAACCCGGCCCTGGATAAGTGGAAGAAAATAGATGAATGGATGGCCAACCTCTGAAGAGTCATGTGAAGTCAATTGTGAACAATTAACTAGCCCAGATGTGGACAATCTTTTGGTTTCAAAAAGGTTTAAGGTGGCCTACCCACAACACCTGTGGGGGTATTTCTGTAACTGCACCCCTGAGTGAATTGTCCTAGTTTCAAGGGCCTTATTTCAGTGTCTGCCCCAAGAGTCATCACTCAACCATTTTCACACCAATAAAGTACTGAAAAGTCCGTTTGATGTTGAATGAATCAGAGGAGACTTATAGTAATTGAGTGGTTGGATTTAGGCTGAATTTTTTATTTTAATTTTTTTAAAGAAGGGAATTAATTTTATGAAATGATGCCACAGAAGCAAAATAATAATAAAAAAGCGTATATAACTAACTAACAAAAACACAGATTTGTAACTACACTAAGCAGATACAAGGCAAACAAAGTAATAAAACAATATTGCTTATCAATATAATGAGACCAGAAGTGTTTAATTCCTGTCAAAAAATCAATGCGTTGTGTAAAATAACGTCAACATCGCGCGAGAACACAGCTGCTGTTAGCGTGCTTAGCAACCGCAGCTGATTGGCCCACATACATGAGTTCCAAAGTCCGACCAATCACGTTTGTTCTCTCAACCTTTTCACCAATCAGCTCCCAGAGACACCGCTCGGGGGGCGGGTCTCCGGGTCACGGGTCTGTGTGGAACACCGGCGGCCCGGGTGCAAAACTTTTCGCCGTCTGCAAAGCGCGGCTCGTCGGCAAAACATTCGTGGAAGCGGCCGGAGTGCAAAGGGACGCGAGGGAGAAGGAGCGCCGTGTCTGCCACAACACGCCACAACTCCGCACTTTTGTTCCTCTTTCAGTCCACACGCGGCTGGTAGAACCGTCTGTGAGCGATGATCCGAGCGCACAGCACCAGGGGGATGTGAACGGTCATTAGCTTCGCTCCGTATTGTCTCTGAAGCGTCGAGCTCCAGCGATTAGCTCCAACTCGCAGATCCGCGGACACTGTGCTGACCCAGCCTTTAATCAGAAGATAAGGAAGACCACTTTTAGCTGTAAGAAGAAAATAAAAATGGCGTGCGAGCCGAATCGTGCCCGTTTGCTGTGTATGCTCTGCATGACTTTCGGCTTCTTCATCGTGGAGGTGGTGGTGAGCCGGATGACCGCGTCCCTGTCCATGCTGTCGGACTCGTTCCACATGCTGTCCGACGTGATCGCGCTGCTCGTAGCTCTGATCGCGGTTCGGTTCGCGGAGAAGACCCAGGCCACCAGCAAAAACACGTTCGGCTGGATCCGGGCGGAAGTGATGGGCGCCCTGGTCAACGCCGTGTTTCTGACCGCGCTGTGCTTCACGATCGTGCTGGAGGCGATCGAGCGATTCACGGAGCCTCACCAGATCGAGGGCCCCTTGGTGGTGGCCGGGGTGGGGGCCGCGGGGCTCCTTGTCAACCTGCTCGGCCTGTGCCTGTTCCACGGGCACGCCGACGGGGGACACGGGCATTCCCACGGCGGAGGGGGAGGGGGGCACTCGCACGGGGGGAAGAGCCACAAGGCTCCGAAGGCCGGTTCCAGTGGAGAGGAGACCAACCACCTGGTGAACCACAGCAGCCCCGGGGACGGACACTCGGAGCGGAAGAATGGTAAGGCTCGCCATATGCCCCCCATAAGATCTAATCCATTCAATGTGTCCGCAGACGTGATTACACTATTGAGCTATTGATTACAATTGTATCCGTATTATCTCTCCGTATTTCAACAATGTGCCCGGTTTAAAGGTCCTGTATTAGGCAAAAGTGACTCTTGTGAGCCTTAAGTCATGTTAGAATGTTGTTACCTCCTCAAAAACGGACCTAGAGTTATGTTTTGTTTCGTTCATTCATGTTTGACTAACCCTTTATTATTAGGAGATGTAGATGTAGAAGCAGTAGTTTTGAAGTTAACAGCTCCTTTTAAATTTGAGGTCTGGAGAGACAATCCCAGTGCTGAAATCAAACAAATTATTGTAGTGAAGGTGTATGGAGGGGATCCTTCCTGTATTACCACAGCAGATGACAAGGTGGACTATAGTGTTTCTTGTCTGAGTGAAGAACTCAGACTAAATATGCAGGATTTATGTGTTAAACATGTGGGAATTAAACTCGGGGTATATTTGTGATAAGGAACCAACATTATAAAATAGATCAGAAAATTGCGTAATATGGGCCCTTTAATAACATCCATGGAAAAAAAGAGAGATTTTACTGATGTCCCAAATCTACACACACCACTGTAATCTATCTGTAAAAATTGCTATAAAGTTGAATTGTTACAATGATAAAAATCAGATACCAGTCAATATTAACACTACTGACACACTAGTATCACACTAGAATGATGTTGAGCTGTATCAGATCAAGTAGAAGAGCACATAGACTAGTACACACACACGGACCAACATGAACCTACTGCACCACTGAGGATTACACACAGATAAGACACACGGAAACAGAAAGAAAAAGCACTACCAGTTAATGTTGAAAATCACATTTTATCTGTTGTATGTTTTTTATGATCATTGTGGTATTGGAATCAGTATTGCATATCAAGTCTATTCCTTAGTATCAAAACAGAGTTTGAAATTTTAGTATCATGACAACACTAGTAGTTGTGATGTGTAAACTACTTGCTTAGTAGTGGTGAATGTGGAAGTGTTGCCTTTTTGATAATGAAGCGCTGATTTGGTGACAAAATGAGGAAGTGAAAACTGCTTCTCTCGCTGAGTTTCAGACTTGAGCTGATATTGGGCTGGACACAGAGCTGCTACATGAATAACTCAATTAACCCAAAGTTTTTATTTCTCCTTCACCATTTACTGACCTGAAAGTTGTACCTGGAGTGATTCGTGCATGTTTGCGTGAACTCCTGTTTCACAGCCACTGGTACACACTCACGTATGTGCTTCCTACTCCAGTTGGATTTCCTTAATCGATGGTATACACAGCATTCAGAACATTGTGTAGTTGTTGTGGTACAAATGAACAAAAAAGATCTGCACTAGTGTGATGTCCAGCAATCCATAGTAGGGGCCAAGAGCATGTTGTGATGACGTTTACACCGACGGCAGCTCCCATTGGGCACCACAGTTTTCTATATCTCGGAAGTCAGTGGACTTATTTTTCTTAAGTTGTCTAACATAATGATCCGCAAGGGGTCAGGGATTATAAATATATAACAGACACAAACACAATATGTCTTGTTTAAGTACTATAATTTCCTCCACAAACAACAAACTCTCCTTGTCTTTTTCTAAACATATTTTTTCCAAATGGTTCTGCCCTAGGTCATATGACAAAAAACAGTTTTCAGTCAACTGTGAACATTTCTGTAAACATCCAGGTTCAGAACTTGTGATTATTTAAACATGTTACATCTATCGTCTTTAAACTACGGCTGTGTGTTTTTTCTAACCGTTTTCTGTCAAAAGTAACAAATCTACTAATACGAATATATCTTAATGTTGATACATATCATTAAGATTTAATATGTCTTAATGTTGAAAATGACACATTATTAAATATTATATTTATTTTCTATTCCTTTGAATCGAAATGGAATTTGAGATTTTAATATTGCCCTGACAACACAAAGTATAAAAGTGTGTATGATGTGTGCGTTCCTTTTCAGTCTCTAGGGGAAGAGTGATGTTGCGTAAGTAAGTGCAGTTCTCCCACATGACTGATATAGGAGCCATTTGTGCTGTGGATAGATGCCATGGTCCTGTCTCCTGGACACTGCCCGCTGTGGACCGCAGACAAGTCCCCACATGTCTGAGCTGTTCACATCCAAACTACACAAAGGCACATCACTGCAATAGTTCTAATGGCTGCATTCCATTCCATGAGCTCTACTTTATAACTGATTCACTTTACTTAGACTTAGTACTCAATACAGATTTTGATACCATAATGATAATAAAAAACACTTTTCTATAGAACATTTTTCTTCTATAAAGTCCTCCAGGTAAGTGCTAAGATACTAGATACTCAGGAATAGACTGAGGAATAAACTTGATATTCAATACCAATTCTGATAGCACAATGATGATAAAAACACTCTTTATTCAATAAATAAAATGTGATTTTCAACATTAAATGGTAGAACTTTCTCTTCTATTCCCTGTGGTCTTATGTGTAATCGCTTGGTGGTCCAGGTAGGTTCATGTTGGTCCTTGTGTGTACTAGTCTATGTGCTCTGACACTTGATCTGATACAGCTCAACATCATTCTAAAGACATTCAGGAAAGGTTCTGCTCTGTCCTGTCAATGGGACTTTTTTTAGTATCGATATCTGCTGAAATGAGCATCTACATTCAATACTAGTTTTAGTATTGAATCAGATTTTCTATGCTTTTCACAACCCTAGTTACATTCAGTTTTATTGTCATCATGCTAAATTAACTTTTTGACCTTTTATAACCATGTTACATTGTGTATCCAAAAAAATTCAGTAATTGTATTTTTGCTTCATTTAGCACCATTAAATGTTCTGTTTGCATTTTGCCTGTCAAGTTGTGTCACAGATAAAACTCCAGACTTCTGAGTTTTTAAGCTCATGATGAGCATGTGGCTCTATTAGTGTTGTATTTTTCTTCCAAATACAAATATCAGTTTAAGTTTGAAAATGTGAAATGCATCTTTAAAAGAGAATTACAGTTGGGTTCAAAATAATAGCAGGGTCAGTCCATATGAAATCAGCCGTTTTCAAGGAATCTGCCCGATGAGCCATCTCAGATTTGGCTGAAAAAATTTTCCAAAAATTTCTAAAATCAGTCTCTTGAGTTGTTCTTCAGTTATGGCCTGTTGAAATTTTGGGGCCATGCCCACATTTTCAGAAGACTTAATTTATAAGCATGTTTGAGAGACCATAACTTCATTAAAAAAAAAAAAAAAAAGAGCTAGGAAGCTGAGGATTTGGATTATTATAGATTCTTGGTCATAGATTCTGAATCTGTTGTCAAATATTGTGTATCTTTATTAAGGGAGGTGCTGTGGGCCCCCAAAATCTCAAATTTGGTTACTGCTCAATTTATTTATTTTTTTCAGGTCCAAGATCTATTTACTCCAAGCAGATATTTTCAAATATTCAGGTTCAGTAGTTAGTTTGTGAGAATGACTATTTCTGACAACAATCTCACACTTTTCTGAGCTTTCATGTGGAGGGTGTAGAGTCCCAAATATGGTCACAGACCAAATGTGACCTTTTTGGCCCCTTTTTTGGACCCTGGGTTCCCCATGTGGCACAGTTAATTTTTACCAGAGAAACTTTGGCATATTCTGATTAATTTCAAGTAATAAAAACATCTACTATTAACTTCATTCATTTCAAATGGAATTTGTGAAAATGAGCTCTCATGGGTCATTTTTGGTGGAGTTTAGGGATTGTTCCACTTCATAGAAAGGTTAAATTACCTTTAATAGACTTAAACATTATTTTCTTATAAGGGAAGATAATTGGAGATTATTTGTGGAACATTGCTTGGAAAAGTGTCATTAATCCTTTGAGAAAATTCATACAAAATGATGAAAAAAGGTTTGTTTTTCCATTATTTATTCTATTTTTATTTGAGGAAGAAAATGTGTTGTCTCACAAAGAAACAGCTTTTCATGGTGTATAAGTAAAGCAACAAAAGTTAAGATGGTATTCATGGAAACTGATTAAAAGGCAAATTACAATTGGAATACTCACTGCCTGTTAAATCACAAAGTCTCCACTTCTATAACCATGGCTTTCAGTATCGCCGTATGTGTATTTTTTTATACAAAAATATTATAAGGCAGTAACATTAACAAGGAAAAATTTTGATACTGACGCAAAAGTTATCTAAATACAATAATCTGGTCTGTTATTTGTTCAACTGCTAGAAATTAAATTTTAAAAAATCTGTGTGAAAAACAAACCTCAGTGGAAAATACCAACATACTGGAAAAAAGCGCCCATTTTGGTGCCTTTGCGTCCTACATGGAGATCATCTGTATTGGGATCTTGCACACCAAGTGTTCCTAACTACTAATGAACTTCAGATCCTGTTTGGATCCTGTCATAATCTGCAGTGTCAAGGCGATAATTTTGTGCTTAATACAACAGATTCTGTGCTGAAATGGGACCCAACATGGTTCTGTCGATGTTCAGGAGGACACATGAGGGTTCTGTCTTCTCCATTCATGAATCTCACATTGACATCACCATGTTCATCTGAACGCTCTGAAATATTCCCAATGAACCACCTGATGTCATAAATACATGCATGTATTGACCTGCTGGTACAGAGAGAAATCTGACACACTCTCATTTTGTATTTCAGAAACTGACACTTCAGTACATAAATGATCTTGAGATATTCTCCTCATTTCTAATTTACCATTTGACACCGGAATGAAACTGTGGTGTGATCTAGTACCATTCACAGTCTTTGTCTTGCTTTAGCGCTCTTCTAGTTTAGAAGCAAGTTCATTTTTTGTGATTTAGATTTAGAGTTTGTAAAGAAAAACTTGACATTCTTTATGTTTTGTGAAGCCCACTCAAACATGTGGAGTTCAGTCAGTATTTAATTATTGTCAGTTGTCTGAAGACTGGCCCATGCAGCCGAGTGTTTTACTGTGCCACCAAAACCATCACAAGCAATGTACCACAAATAATCTCCAGTTGTCTTCCCTTATAACAAGCAATTAGTGTTAAGTCTTTTAAAGTTAATTGAAACTTTATAGCAGGCAGAAAAGTACCGAAGCTCCACCAAAAATGGCCCATGAGAGCTCATTTTCAAAAATTCCATTTGAAATGAAGGAAGTTAATAGTGGATGTTTTTATTACGTTAAACTAATCAGAATATGCCAATGTTTTCTGGTAAAAATTTGATCAGCATCTAACTGTGCCACATGGGGAACCGAGGGTCCAAAGAAGGGGCCAAAAAGATCACATTTGGTCTGTGACCATATTTGGGACTCTACACCCTCCACATGAAAGCTCAGAAAAGTGTGAGATTGTTGTCAGAAATAGTCATTCTCTCAAATATTCAGGTTCAACAATTAGTTTGTAAATATCTGCATGGAGTAAATAGATCTTGGATCTCAAAAACAAAACAAAAATGATTTTGGGGGCATACAGCGCCCCCCTCAATAAAGATACACAATATTTAACAACAGATTCAGAATCTACAAGAATCTACAATTATACTAATTCTCAGCTTCCTACTTCTATTTTTATGAAGTTCTGGTCTCTCAAACATGTTTATAAATTAAGGTGTCGGAAAAAATTTGCATGGCCCCAAAATTTCAACAGGACATAACTCAGGTAAAATTTGAGATTCTTTCATTTGGTAATTTTAGACATTTTTAGAAATTTTTTTTTTCAGCCAAATCTGAGATGGCTCATAGGTGAGGGCAATTGATTTGATATGGACTGACCAGCAGTGTTTTTTTTTTTTTTATGTGAGTAAAGCTCAACATCCTTTTTTTTTTTTTTTTTTTATTTCCATCCAACACGTCATATTATTGTTTACATCAAGACATGAAGAAAAAAAGTATCAATATTTTAACTACTTTACAGAAAATGAAGGAAAAAATTATGTTGGGCTGTTCAAAAAATAGTTTTTCATTACAAACTCAAATATTTACTCAATAAACTGAAAAAAATGTTAAGATTAACATTTCTGTGAATCACTAAACTAATATTTAGTTGTATAACCACTGTTTTTGAGAACTGCTTCACATCTGCGCTGCAAAGAGTCAACTAACTCCTGGCACCTGTAAACAGGTATTCCAGCCCAGGATGATTGGACAATTGGCCACAATTTCTCTGCATTTCATGGTTTTGCCTCAGAAACGGCATTTTTGATGTCACCCCACAAGTTTTCTTTTGGATTAAGGTTCGAGGATTGGGCCGGCCGCTCTGTAACCTTCATTTTGTTGATCTGGAACCAAGATGCTGTTTGCGTACTGATGTGTTTGGGGTCATCTTGTTGAAACACCCGTTTCAAGGGTGTTTTCCTCTTCAGCATAAGGCAGCGTGACCTCTTCAAGTATTTTGATGTAAGCAAATTGGTCCATGTTCCCTGGTAATAAATAAATAGACCCGACACCTTAGTAAGAGAAATAGCTCCTTATCATGATGCCTGCACCACCAGGCTTCACGCTCTTCAGAGTGAACTGTGGCTTGAATTCAGTCTTTGGGGGTCGTCTGACAAACTGTCTGCGGCTCTTGGACCCAAAAAGAACAATCTTACTTTCATCAGTCCACAAAATGTTTCTCCATTTCTCTTTAGACCAGTTGATATGTTCTTTGGCAAATTGTATCCTCTTCAGCAGGTCCTTTTTAACAGTGGGATTTTGCGGGGGCTTCTTGCTGATAGAAGACGTTTGTGTGAGGCTAATCTAATTGTCACAGTACTCACAGGTAACTTCAGACCATCTCTGATCTCCCTGGAGCTGATCATTGGCTGAGTCTTGTTCGATCCATTCGAATAGTAGTCTTCCATTTTCTTCCACGTCTCTCTGGTTTGGCTTTCCATTTTAAAACACGGGAGAGCATTTTAGCTGAGCAGCCTTTCATTTTCTGCACTTCTTTTTTGTTTTTTCCTCTCCAATCAACATTTTAATGAAACCAAACTGTTCTTCTGAACAATGTCTGGCATGTACAACATGTGCTGGCTTCATCCTCAAATAAGAGCCACCTGAATGACATTTGTTTCTTCACTTAATGAATGACGTCACTGATTGAACTCCACACTGCTGTTATTTTGAACACGCCACTTTCACTTCATTATTCAATTACACAGACTCTGGAGCATTCATATCATTAATGTTGGGTCTGTTGGTTTCTCTGACTCTACTACATCTACTGGTCAATTATTTGCCATGTGATTTTATGATTTATACCAAAAACAGTGATTGATCTGATTAGTCATGTTGGACTGCTGTTATTTTAACACAATTGTAAAGCCACAAGATTGGATAATGTGTTGTTTAAAATAAAAAAGGACTGATTTAGCTTGGAATAAAGTATCAGTTATTAGTTACAGTTGACAACCAGTCCATCCAGAGAAAGTGTTTTTTATCAAGTCTGATCTGTCTGTATCACTCCACATGAACACACTTTATGGCTTCATTTGTTTATTCTGCTAAAGTCTGCGGTATTTATTCTTTTAGCTGTGTGCTGTTGTAGCATCCCTTTCTCATCTGCTCCTGCTCTGACTCACCCTGTCGCCCCCTCACTGAAACCATTATAGACCCCCCCCCACTATCTCACCCTGCCGCTCTGTCCTCTTTTTTGATCACTCTTTTCTCTTTCACCCTCTCTCTCCCCTCTTCTTTCTCTTTCACCTTTTCTCTGTGCCTATGTTACTGTGTCTTCTCAGACAGAGGAATGACAGTGTTAAATGAGCCTGCGTGCTGCTGCTGCTGCTGCCTCACAACTGCAGCGAGGCACACATCCTCGTTCTACCTTTAGACAGCCTGGACAAACTTCTAGTGACAACTAATAATCAACATATTAACATAACTGTTATATACACACATTATTCTTTTTACATTTTTTTTACATTAATACACAAACAAATCCAAAGGTAAACGATAATATACAAACTTACATTTTTCATTATGAGACTATGGCTGAAAGATAATAATAAAACCAAATAAAGAAAAAAATATGGATGTAAAAAATACACTCATTGCTTAATTAAATTTGGGTTGATTAGCTGCAGAAATCCATTTCTGTGTCAGTCTGGAGTTTTGTAAATCCAGTAAAACTCTCAGGCTTTCTTCTATCTTTGATCATGCATACATGTGTGCAACACTAATTCACAATCTCCCATAACTCCCTTAAAGTTCCTTATTTACAGTTAACACCGATAGATTCTATGGGAATTCTCAACCAGTGTGAGGTTTGGAGGTGTATGCTGGGATTTGTGTGACCACAACTGCAGGAGCTCTATAATGCTCAGCTCATACAGAGCACAGAACAGCATGCCCTCTGCTGATCATTCAGCTCATTTGCACTAACATGAAGAAAGCATGAAAATCTGAAGACAACTTAATTTGTCCAGTGTTCCGCCCATAAGCCTACAGCATCCATGCTCCCACGTGACAATTTTCCATAAATATACAAAAACATGATACAAAACCATACACTACAGCTTCACAAACCTGATGTGATGTGTAGGCACATTGTAATAAAACATATTCCATGTGAATATGTTTTCAGCGAATAATAGTGTTTTAATTTAGGAACAGTTAAAGGTAACATGGTGATCTAAATCTGATATGATATCAGTTAATGCCCCGTACAATTAAAAGACACTCTCTTTCTGACTAACCTGTGCGTCCTGTGTGTGCAGAACTGGCGTGCAAGGACAACTCGGACGTGCAGGTGAACGGCAGCCCTCACTACGAGGACCCTAACTCCGCTCAGCTGAACTTACACTTTGAAGAATTGGACACAGCCCCGGACTCGTCTCAGCTGAACATGCGTGGGGTCTTTTTGCACGTGCTTGGGGATGCACTGGGCTCCGTCATTGTCGTGGTAACCGCCATCATCTTCTACTTTGTGTGGACGCCGTGTGGTGACGACGAGAACTGTGTCAACCCTTGCATCAACCGCCACAGCACGGACCACCGGCACGTCAACCACACCATTGTTGACCTGCTGGAGGGACCTTCGCCTGTGCACATGGCTGGACCCTGCTGGGTGCTCTACCTGGACCCTGTGCTGTGCATCATCATGGTGGGCATCCTGCTCTACACCACATACCCGCTGCTTAAAGAGTCTGCCCTCATCCTGCTCCAGACTGTGCCCAAGCAGATCAACATGGACAGTCTGAATGAGCGGCTACTGCGGCTGGAAGGTGTGCTGGCCATCCACGAGCTGCACATCTGGCAGCTGGCCGGCAGCCGCATCATTGCCACGGCACACATCAAGTGTCACGACCCCACCTCCTACATGGAGGTGGCCAAACGCATCAAGGACTTCTTCCACAACGAGGGCATCCATGCCACCACCATCCAGCCCGAGTTTGTCACCTTCAGCTCAGACAACCGCGACTCTCAGTGTGAGCTGGCCTGTCGGACAGTATGTGCGCCCAAGCAGTGCTGTGGCAGTGCAGATAAGGCCGACAGCAAAAAGAACAGTGCTGAGAGCAAGATGTCTGCCTCCAGTGCTCTGGAAGTGATCAGTGAGATGCAGGAGCAGCCCGTCCAAGTAGGGCCCAGAGCAGAGGAGCGCAGGGAGGCTGAGTCCTCTCTGTAGGACCAGTCTAGATGTTTTAATCTAGTGTCAGTGCGCTTCAGTGACCTACTCCTATATCACTTTTCTTCTTTGTTTCAGCCTGCAGTTAAATTTGTAATTTTATTAGAAAGTATTTATGATCCCAAGTGTTTTAGCTTAAATTGGATAATTTAAACAGGTGAGATCTATATAATTATTTATGCAAACTTACCTGGGTTTGGGTCCCTTTCCTTCAGAGCCAGCGCTCCTGTCCACTTGTCCTGACTTTACAACAACACCTTTTAAATATTTGATTTTGACATGCAATTCCACCGATGGGTTTCTATTCACTTGAAACGTTATGCACAATGTTGATATCCTTCTGAAACACGCTGGGACCAATGTAACAGGAGCAGGAGGCTGTGAGAGCACACCACTGATGCTCTATGCTGTCATTGTCAACACTCCCGATTTGGAGAAGACGACAGGAGCAAAGACATGCAAACAAAAACCTGATGAGCCACTATAATGTCTGGTACCCTGTGTGTGGAGACGTTAGCCATATTTTGGTTCATCTCACCTGGACGCTCCTGTCTGCTTCTCCAAACTCACTGTTATGTAATTCCTGCAGCACACACCCTCCACCTCTCTTCCTTTCAGAACACCAGGCCTTCATCATTTCAAATATCTTTTAAAAAGCTACACTGCAAAAAAAATCAGGCAAAATCATTCAAATTTGGAGTATGAATCAGACTTTGGGTATTTTTGACTTTTAAATGGAAGTCTAATTCCATTAAATTCTAATTTGTAAATCATTTTAAAGTGCATTTGAAAGATTAATATACTTTTTAAATGATGACTTGGTATGTTGGAATAGTACCTGCAATAAATATTTACATCAGTTAAATGTCAGTTTGTGCATAAAAGTACGAAAAAAAAGTTGGTTCTAAAACAGAATCCCTCTACCTATAACCAACAGTCAACAACTCCATCCAAAATGCAGAGACCGTTTAGGTCAAAATAAAGGTGTTACTTATTTTTATTTGTGTAATCATGAATGTGTAATTTAGACACATTTTGGCCCTTGCTTCATTATAGTTGCATACCTCTGTGTACTGTATGTACTGTATATCTGTTGCCCATAAGTCAAATTATAACTCACCAAAATTATAAAACTAGACAAGACGAGGCAAGATTTGTAGTAAAGTCTTAAATTTGATAATGTTTGCTATGTTTTAGAGAAATCATGGTCTAAGATAGCCTGATTCATCAGACGTTTTCACTTCGTAGAAACCGTCTGACCTCGCAGTGATAGAATTCGTTCGCTCCACAGTAGGTGGGTACTTTTTTTTATTTTTTTAACCAATCACTGCTATTTGGTCGTGATGTATGTAATGCGCCTCTAACGGGGTTAACTGGTATATTAAGCTTTTTCCAAATCCTGTAGGAAGAAGGGCAATAACGTCTTTCCCCTTGATAAAATTCACCAAACATTATCTTTATTCCGGCTTTAAATCCTCGATCTCAGGAATCGTTGACAACATAGAATGTCTAGCTCGTCACTGATTGGCTGGTGCCTGAACTCGCATTTCCGGGGTTTTTACGAACCGTCTAATGTATTCTGATTCCTGACCTAGTCGCTGGAGAGAAATGAAATTGAGCAGAGGCACTAGGTGGCACCAGCCTGGCTAAGTCTAACCTGTCAGATGCTCTTAAATCCATCAGGTTAAAAAAATGGGCCCATTTGTCAGAAGTGCCCCCATTTGGACTGATTTTGTGATTTCAGGTGTTGATATTTTTGCAGTGTAACTTTTGTACATGTGCCAAAGCTTCTGCTGGACTAGGTCTGTCACCACATTCTGCTACAGAAAAATGCCAAGATATTGAAAATACTTTACACCAGTGACAAAGCAACAGGAGAATCCCTGTGACCTTTGTCCATTTGGACTATATGGTGAAAATGTGGTCAGCAATTCATAAATTGCACTTATTTAGTAGCTAGATGGTAATTATTTGACCAAGTACATGTTATTATAAGCTGAAAGGCACTATACCAGATTTTTTTAGTGTTTAGAGACATGAAAAACAGGACTATCTCATTTTAACCAGTTTACAGTGGTCCAGAGGTATTCCTCACTTACCTTATGCATTCAGAGCACCCTAATTATTCACCACTATGAGTTTATAAGCACTTTCACAACTTTCAGACACCAGAGCAGCTTTTTGCCATCACTATGCTAGCAATCCTGACCACAGCTAGCATGCTACAGTGTATTTCCTGCTTCTTTGACAATAAAACATTTTGAATTACATTCACATACACTGCCAACTTATTTTGACTTCAAAAGTTGCTTATACAACGTATGTACTGGATCGAGACACATTTGATTCAAATACTCAATTCTTCCAATAAAAAAATCGACAAACACCTTAAATACTAAATATGACTAAAGACTAAAAATTCCCCCCTAATGCAAAGAAAGGGTTTTGTTCTATTATGTAATGCGTAGGTTGATATAGTAATTCTGGTGACAGGCCTACACTGGACCACACAACCTTTAGTGCTTGTAACGATGAGCCATGGACCCGTCTCTCCCCAGATGACTCCGGTCATTTCAGACTATTTATTCAAGATGATCAATACCTCTGTTCTGGACGCTGTTGCACTGTATACTTCTTTTTGCAAGTATATGGTTTGTTTTGCAATGGACCATTTCTGCTGTAGTAAGTTTGTACAAATGGGAGAGTTATTTTTCTGGAGAATTTTTACTAAGTATTACGGTACATTTATTTTCTATGTGACATTGTGTCCTGTGTACAATATTGCCATTATTCAGAAAAAGAATTTTCAGAGCAAATGTGCACTGCTCCAATAAACTGTAAACGATGACGGTTGTTTTTTTGTTTTGTTTTGTTTGTTTTGCTTTGTTTTTAAATTTGGGAAAAATTACAAAGTTTTCAACCAATTTGTATAATGTGGGAAATGTTTGCATGACTATATGGCACATTCTCAAATGCATGCTACACTATTGCGTAACTGTAGGTAGCATTGTTTATTTTTTTAAAAAGTATTGTGGAGGAAAAAAATCTAAAAATTTCTAAATCACTATTCAAAGTGCCGCATAATGAATTGTTATAACTAAAACAGGAAAAGGCCTGTAATGTGTTTGGAGAAGTAGACAGAAGGACAATGGACACCCATGATCTGAAAGAGCTCTTTAGTCCATTCCAGGAAAAGCAATACCATCTCCTAGTAAAACTTTAAGTCTCATTCCCAAATAACCTAAATGTACAGGCTCTTTAGGTGTATCAGAGTTCTTCGCAAACTATCTCATGAATTCTTCCCAAATGTTCTTCTGTCTGCTTTTCCAAGTGGAGGCCTCCTGAGCATTTGAGCCTGGTGCGTCCTGTCCCACTCCCGCCCTCTTCCATACACTCTATCAATAAATGGACATGGTTAATCTGCCTGGATGGGTGTGAGGTGGTTCCTTTGAGGTCTGGTTGCATTCTCATGGTCCTTCTGTCAGTAACTGCAGCGGTCAGGCTCCTCATTCTGACCTTAAAGCTTTTGAACCCTCTACATAATTCTGGGGTTTTATTTCACTATTTTGTCCCTAAATCAAGATATGAACATTAATAACAGACCAAACAGGTGTTTTTTTTTTGTTTTTGTTTTTTACTCCAGCAGCAACAGCAACAGCCTTGATTGACAGCCTTATGGTTAACCATCCGTCCTGGCCAAAGCAGCTGGGCTGAGGAGACAAGGACCTGCAACAACCTCTCACTCCTGATTGTGTCCTTGGTTGCAGATTAGCCACTTTAACTTTAACCTTGATTGGCTTCATTTGGGTGTAAGTGAACGCTCTGGGATACATTACACTCCTTCAGTCCAGTTCTATACAGTTTCTGCCCATTGCTCCTCTCCGGCCCTTCTCCACACGACTCCTCTCTTGTTGAATGTTCTTGGCTGGACTGTGGGTAGTGCTGCTGTGCAGGACCTAGTTCTCCTCACACCTCCATATCACACATGTCCAGAGCACATCAGCGTTATTCCTTCATATGACTTTATCACTGTAATCTACATATAACGCTGTTGCTGCTTGGTTTGTGATTAACAGTTGGCACCATCTTGTTTTTGTTGTGGTTAAAGCCTGGTTTCAGCCAATGAATGGTAAAATAAGCCCTTAAATGAATAGGTTGTGTTCATGTTCTAAAATGTAATGTCATTATTTTAGATGGTGGGAAAGAGCCTATAGGTGTTTTCAGACCGACAGAATTGTGCCGGTGCCGGTTCCCACACCTAATCTTGAACCCACTCACATGTTCATGCTGGAAATCAGAGCGTTCAGGAACCGAAAAGTTGGTCCCTAACAGGAAACAAGTAAAACTTGTTTTTTCTAAGTGAACCGTGACAACACAGAAGACGTCAACACACGCTGGGTCACACACAGTAAAATAAACAAAGAGCAATTGAAACTATCACATATTAAATTAAAAGTTTTAAGTCTACAGAAACTATTATGTACCGATGGTTTTGCATGTGTCCGTGTTCGCCTGATAAGATTACATCTTTGTATTGGGCCTCGCTGCCTCTTCCACAGCAGATGGATGTTGTAGCAGAGCTTGGCGCACATAAAGAATGACTTGTAGAAGTACAAATGCTCGCTGGTGTTGATGACGTGATCTATGATTTTTATTTTCCTCTCTGTGACGTCCGTTTTCATATGGCCTTGTTTTTATTGGTGGTAAATCCACAGCCTCTGTCGATGACGTGTCATGGGTTCACGTAAATAGTATGAACGTGGTTCGTTCACCAGTGAGAACTTTGTTTCCCAGTGGAACTGGTGTGGGAACTGGCCCCAGCACCATTCGGACCGGCCTGAAAACAGTTTATGAAAGAGTTACAGATTTTTAAAGAAATCTCAAAATTTATGATCTGCAAATGTTTCTCCTTCTCATCATTTGTTTGAGATCAGCTCCGCAAACTTGCCATATTAATCTTATGACTTAAAGTCCTTTTAACTGACTACAATCACGTTGCCAGCTTTTATTTCATATGGATAGGCCCAGTAATTATAGAGATATGAACCATAAACCAAGTCACACATCGCTAATCTGACTCCACCTAAGAGCTCTCACCTATCTCCACCTCTGGTTTAATGAATTCTAATTTTATGCTGTGATGTCACGTGAAACCAACCTATTTCATATTGGATTGTCTATTAGCTAAAGTGTTACTGGGGGGAGGGGTCCTGGTCTCTGTGGAGTCCAGACGGAGTCCTGGGGCTCTCCAGGTGACATGTTTGTACTGTCCACTGCTGTAGATCCTGGTGTAGCGTTAGCTTAGCATTCAGGTTCATTCTCACATTGCTCTTTAAAGATTGTGAATGTCTCCATGCAATGTGTGTGTATGCAAAAAGACTAAAGTGATTTTTACATTTGCTCCTGTTTTTATAAGAAGTGTATGTAAAGTGTCTTTGTGAATAAAACTCTTCAAATGTGTGTTGTGTAAAGTGCTTTTTTAGATACAAGATTCTGTTGAAATGACCTACAATAAAATAACTATCAATAACTCTGCTCAGATGAATCCAACTGAAAGGAAGTGTATGGAGTTGTACTCGGCTGGAGTGGAGTACTCCAGTAACTTTATAAAGAAACTCTTTTTCTAGCAGCATACTTACACATGGCCTATTCTATCCATCTCTGCTCTTAGGGTGGATTCACACTTGCTCTTAGACCGCATCAAACTGGGACTAAACCTGAACTAGAAAAGACCAAACCAAGTCTAAATCAGGACTAAAATAGGTTCAAACCTGAACCAAATCATGACACATGATTATAGTATCTGTGTCCCCGGAGCCTTCTCCTGCAGATAGAGACACATCCCATGTGTCTCATTCTCAGTATGCAGACAGGTCAGGTCTCGTGAAGCTCTAGAACCCCTAGAATTCCCTCCCTGAGCTGCAGAGACTGCACTAGCACTGATTTCTATCTATATATATTCATGTTTGGCTGCAGGTGCTGTTGTAAAAACGATTTGATTTGAACATGTTTACCTGATATCTGGCAACACAGGTGACGTTATGGAATCTAAAATCAACATTGTACATGCAGTTCCTTAAAGATGTGACACGTTTGTTTGTTTGTTTTTGTGTTTTTCTGTAAAAATGTTTTCTGTTTGTCTGATTTTGAGTTAAATGTGACATAAATAATACAAAACAAAACACTTGTTTGTTTTCAAAGGACAGACACAAACATGAAAAACTAAATCATATCTGAAGGAGCTGCAAGAAACACAAATGTAATAATTTCAGAATGTCAGCATAAAGCTTTTGTCTCTGTTAGACTCACAGTAGGAAGAGTAGATGACATAGCACATAATCTGAGCCTAAAATATTGTAAATAGAGTAATAAACAATGTAAATATCACACTGTCCTAAGATTCCTGCGCTTTGGGTTTGACTTTGTGTTGTTTGGATTGACCTGATTTCACACATTACACTTTAAGCAGCTTCACTTTCTTCTTCCTCAAAAGCTTTCTGGCTCCTGAAGAGGAATGTGAGGGCCACAGTTAGCATTAGGCATCAGGCCGGGCTAATCTGGAGCTAATCTGACGCTAATGTGCAGCTAATCTGCTAACATGCAGGTTTAGCAGCTCTTGGAAAATTAAGTGGTCAGTTAATGACCGGGACTCGCTTGTCAAAGGTTCTAAGATCAAATATTAACACTTCTCTGAATAGAAAAATACTCCATTAATAATTCCATTTTCATTATACTCCATTTTAGAATATCCTGGCTTCAAATGTCTCTCTTCCTGTGTATTAGCCTACTCTTTGTTCCTCTTTCACACTTCACATGTAGAGCACATGTGTGTTTGGCCTGAGCCTGCAGCACTGAACAGGACAATAGTTTGGGACAGGTTTGTATTGAGTGGCCTTTCTCTCCACAAACGCTGTGTTAGCAGAGAGTGCTGTGCTAACCCCCTGTGAACCCTGTGACCCCTCTGTCCTCTCCAGCTTTGACCCTGTGTGCTGCTCCCCTCTGACCCCCTGTCCTGTCCTGCCCTGTCCTGCTTTGACTCTGCCCCCTCTATAAGCCCATTCTTGTGTGGCATGCTACTATATTGTCCTCTTAAGTGGAGGAATATACCAGAGCATTGAAGGGCCCATATTCCGTCATTTTCTGATCTGTCTCCTCATCACAAAAAGACCTGGAGTTGTGCTTAGTTTCATTCACACATGTGTAACACACAAACCTGCACATTTGCTTGTTCTTATTAGCCACTGTCAGATGACCAAACCAAACTGAGACAAAAACACTTTCAGTCAGGCTCACAGACCCGCACCAGAGTCTGGAGCTTTGTGATCCTGTAAAGTTTGTGGTTGATTTCGTAAAGAGCTCATCCGCATGTTGTGTGAAGTTGAGCTTGTCATCAAACACTTGAAGTTTGTCACAGCCTCAGTGAGCTGACCAGAGGTCTGGTCAGTAAGGCTGTGAGTATCTGAATGAGCTGATCATGTTCAGGAGCACTGAAATCATAGAGAGTCCCGTTGTATGAGTATGACCTTTGACACCGCTGTGTTGCATGCTGAGTCAGAGTTGACTTGTTTTCACATTTTGAACTGCTGGTGCTCTACAGAACAAAGCCAAAAACAACAGACCTGGGTCCAGTGCAGGCCTCATGGGCTTTGACCTTCTCAGTATCTTATCATGTGTTATCTGTTCTTATGGAGCAACAGTGACAGGACTCTCCCCTCTCTCTCCCCACTCTGTGCTGGAACCACAGCTGGAGCCACAGCTGCCTTGGGGCAAACCGGCATAGGCTGATCCAATTCAAAATGACCATCTCCTACTAGTCTCTAGAAGACTGGCCAGACCGAACCCAGACCAGTCCAGAACAGTCTGTGTGTCTCTGTGAGTCTCTGTGTGTCTCTGTGTGTCTCTCTGTGATTCTCTGTGTGTCTGTGTGTTTTTGTGTCTCTGTGAGTGTCTGTGTGTCTCTGTGATTCTCTGTGTGTCTGTGTGTTTTTGTGTCTCTGTGAGTGTCTGTGTGTCTCTGTGATTCTCTGTGTGTCTGTGTGTTTTTGTGTCTCTGTGAGTCTCTGTGTGTCTCTGTGAGTCTCTGTGTGTGTTTTTGTGTCTCTGTGTGTCTATGTGTATCTCTGTGAGTCTCTGTGTGTCTGTGTGTTTTTTGTGTCTGTGTGTGTCTGTGTGTCTCTGTGATTCTCTGTGTGTCTGTGTGTGTTTTTGTGTCTCTGTGAGTCTCTGTGTGTCTCTGTGTGTCTGTGTGTGTTTTTGTGTCTCTGTGTGTCTCTGTGTGTCTGTGTGTGTCTCTGTGAGTCTCTGTGTGTCTCTGTGTGTCTCTGTAAGTCTCTGTGTGTCTCTGTCCTTGTCCTCAGACAGGAGGCCTTGTTAATGTGTCACTCTTTAATTGTTGTGTTCATTACAGTTGTGAGACTTTGTCCACTGTAAGGGACAGAGTCCAGCTCACATAACCACTGTCCTCTCCATGGAACAGAGGACACACATGGCAGGGACAGGAGGACACACAGGGAAACAGGACACACAGGGACAGGAGGACACTGTTTGAGGTTGGCTCCACAAACTTGTCATGTCTTGTTAATCTTATGGCTTGAAGTCCTTTCAGTTGACAATAATTTCATCTTTGGGGTTGAATAATGGCACCACTTTCTGAAGTGAATGTAACAAAATCATTTAACTTTAGTTTATTTGTCCTGACAGAGAAACTTTGGACTTTGTGCCAGTTTTTGTTTCATGTGGATAGACCCAGTAATTACAGAGATATGAACCATAAACCAGGTCACACTTCTGCACCTGACAGTTACACAGCAAACTCCAGATCCTTTCCGTTCCATTTTTATAACAGTTTAAATTTTAATTTAACAAAATAAAGGTGTTGTTATTTATTTAAACTATTGTGCAATTTAAAAATCAGTTTTGGTCCTTGTTTACAAACTGGTTGCTTGGTAACAGTTATGGAATTACATATGTGTATGTCATATCTGCTGCCCATGTTCAAACAGGAAGCAAAATTTAGGCAAGATTCAAATCTTAAATATAATGATGTTAAAGGCCCATATTACGTTATTGTATGGTCTAGGTTATAATGGTGTTTCTTCATCAACAAACAAACCTGGAGTTCTTCTTTCAAACAGAAAACACCCTGTGATGTCATGTTGTAGTGCACCAGAAGTGCTCCACTGTGTTTTTAGATTTCATACACCTTCACTAGAATCATTTGAATGATTTCAGCCCTGGAAGTGCTGTTTATAAAACTGCTGTCACACACTACAATCACAAGGTGGAACAGAACATTTTGAGCTTTGGAGATGTAGACAGACTAAAGAGTTACTCAAACATGTGGGAATGAAACAGGTGATGTTTTGGATGAGGTAACAAGATTCCAACATGGCTCAAGACTCACAAGAGTTTGTTTTGGGCTTTTAAAAGGGTAATCTAACACATTTAGGTCATTGTGACTGGGACAGAGACTTTGGAAAAGAGACTCCATGTTTGCACCTTTTGTTTATGTTTATGTTTTTATCAGAGGAGCAGTCCATAAAGTGTGTGTAATAAACACAGTACAGGACACGCCTCTCCTCCCCATAAAGAGCCCTACAGGTATATATTATATTATTATATATTACCCAAAACTCATCACCATAGGGAATGTAGACTGACCAGTAAATTGGGAGCTTTGCCATTTGACTCAGCTCCTTCTTTACTACAGTGGCCTCATCACTGTAGACGCTGCAGCGATCTGCCTGTCAATCTCACGTTCCGTCCTCCCCTTACTCGTGAACAAGACCCCGAAATACTTGAACTCCTCCACTTGAGGCAGAGACTCTCCACCTGGAGAGGACAAGACACCTTTTTCCTGTTGAGAACCATGGCCTCGGATTTGGAGGAGCTGATCTTCATACCAGCCGCGTCACACTCAGCTGCAAACCGCTCCAGTGCACACTGGAGGTCCTGGTCTGATGAAGCCATCAGGACATCATCTCAAACAGCAGAGATGAGATCCTGCAGTCCCCAAACTGAACCCCAAATTGGACCCCCTCTAGCCCCTGAATGTTCCTAGAAATCCTGTTCATAAATACAACAAACAGAACCAGTGACAAAGGACAGCACAGGACTCCTTCTTCAGCCTGACAGCATCCCTTACTTTCAGCATCCCTCACTGGTTTCATGGATTGCAGCCGTGACAGGCACCATAGACTTTGTGGTCACAGCTACGAGCGGCTACATCAACAATGGAGGTGGAGAACATGGTCCATTGGACTTATATCCCCAGTCTCCCCCAGGATCTGGGAGAAGTTCTCTCGGAGGTCCCGCTGGCATAGGGCTCTACCAGACATTCCCAACAGATGATGAGCTTAGTATTTCCGGTTTCCATATTCGCACTGCACGGGACACCACATAGAACATGAAGACAATTAAGAGCACAAATGTCATGTATGAAGTAGACTACAGGTCTACACTTCACACTTAAGTACAATCTTGGGGTGTCTATTCTTTACTTAAGTACATTTTACAGTTGATACTACATTTTAGATGTGGACTGAAAAGTAAAAAGAGACTCATTTTTAGCACATTTAATTTGAGTTAAACTCCCAACTTTGAGCAAAATCAAATACACAAAAACTGCTAGAAAAATTAAGAAATCTAAAAAAAAGAAAAGTGAACGTGAACGTGAAGAGAATGTTTTTGCAGGTCTGTTACATAACCCCAACCTCATGTTCTCCTGACACAGAGGGAAGTCACATGATCTGTCTTATCATATGGTCACATGATCAGTCACATGAACCCGAGTACCTCGGGTAGCACTGCTTTTCTCTGGTTCAGATCCAAAATGTAAAAAAAGAAGACATAAAAAAAAAAAACAGTACACCTATACAAATAAAAGAAGACATACTGCACTTGGGTTGTGTGCACTTCTCTGTGTCACCCACGGATCATCATGTTCTACTTTGGACATTTAAGTCACAATACTCATTTGAAACAACTTAACAAAAGAAACAAGTCTAGTGAGGTATTGGAAGATGGTTAACAGAGAATGGGAGGGCATCTGATACACAGGGATGCACATTCCCGCCTGCCTCTTTGTGGTACATTGTTGTGAACATCATCACAACAAACCAGTGGATAGCTGTACATCATACCATTCTGCAGCGGGATTTCTTTTGTTGTTGTCTTAAGTACAACTTCAGAGGGTTAGTGACAAACAAACAACTATAACATGGTTCAAAGCTGTGAAGAGCCCAGTTTAAACAGGTCTGCTTTAATACAAAATCAGGTAGTCATTCCAGGTGTTACAGCACTGAGTACTTACATACGAGCAGCTATTGTTTTTTTTTTTAGCAACATTCAAACTTCTTCTAAAACTCGAATTTGAGCAAAATGTGTCTTGCCCCAATACAGATATATTATATTAGCAACTCTTAAGGTCAAAATAAGTCAGTGTGATAATTAGGAAGTGTTATCTATACTGTCACTCACAGCAAAACTCCACTCCACTTTGTTGAAAGTTGTAAAAAGTGCTCATAAACACATCACACTGAAAAAAGGGATGCTCAGAATGCATAAGGTAAGTGAAGTATAACTTTGGACCACTGCAAACTGTTTAAAAGAAACTAATTCAGTTTCAGTTCAGGTTCAGGCACAGCACCTTTAAAGCATTCAAGTGGAGACAGTACAGTCTTCATTTCTGTTCACTCTGTACACCTCTGATCTCCAGTACAGCTCCAGGTCCTGCCTCCTGCTGAACTTCTCTGAGGACTCTGCAGTGGTTGGCTGTGTCAGAGACGGACAGGTGATGGGACAGGTGCTGAGACAGGTGCTGGGGTGTATGAGAGATGGACAGGTGCTGGGACAGGTGCTGGGACAGGTGCTGGGGTGTATGAGAGATGGACAGGTGCTGGGGCAGGTGCTGGGGATGTGTCAGACACTGAATGCAAATTTTGTGGAGTGGTCCGAGGCAAAACATTTGTTTATGAACATTGACAAGACCAAGGAGCTGGTGATTGACTTCAGGAGAAAGACGACACCAGTGGAGCCCATCACCATCCAGGGCCATGAGGTGGAAATAGTGAACTGCTGCAAGTACCTCGGCGACCGTGTGGACAACAGACTGGGCTGGAGGGACAACTGTAATGCTGTGTGTAAGAAGAGACGCTACTTCCTGAGAAAGATCAGGTCTTTCACTGTGTCCAGGAAGTTACTAGAGATCTTCTCCGGGTGGTGGCCAGTGCCCTGAACATGGCTGTGTTCTCCTTGGGGAGCAGCACCAGTAAAAGGGACATTGGGCGCATGGACAAACAGAACCATAAAGCTGGTCACGTGATCGTCTGTGAGCTGAAGACATTTGTCACAGTGAAGGACATGAGGACAAATAGTTCTCCATCATGGACACTCCTGCTCACCCACCAGACACCACCCACCAGACAGCACCCACCACCCACCAGACACCAGACAGCACCGCTCAAACAGCCAGAGATATACAGTCCCTGACAAAAGTCTTGTCGCTTATCCATTTTGTAGAAACAAAAGCTTATGACCTGACTTTAAATTAATCGATTGGTTTTAGAAATGTCTCATATGAAAGCTAAAACCCTCCCAAATTATGCTCAATATACTAAAATAAATTTGCTTCACTGAAGAAAGATTGATCATTTAATGAACACAGAAAGGTCAGATTTTGGCAAGACAAAAGTCTTGTCGCCTTGTTTTATGACGCACCCAGTCTCACCTGTGATCAGTTACTGATCAATCAATTGGTGGATGTGTATAAAAAGAACCCCAGCACACCAGACCTTCACATCAACTGCAACTTGACCTCTGACAACATGCCTAAGATCCACCCTGAGACCAAAGCGTTAATTATCAAGAGGCTGAAGACCAGATCCACTGCTGAGGTGGCTGACACCTTCAATGTGTCTCAGCGTCAAGTACAAAGAATAAGAAAAAGATCTGAAATGACTGGAGATGTTTTTGACAAGCCCAGGTCCGGCAGATGCCACAAGACAACTGCTCGGGAGGACCGTTTGTTGATTCAAAAATCCAAGGCCAGCCCCTTTTCCACTGCAGCAGACTCCACCAGGCCTGGTCACCTCAAGTCCCTGTGTCAACCACAACAGTTTGTAGAATTCTGTCTCGAAATGGCCTCTACGATCGAATCAGTGCATAGAAACCAGCACTAAACAAAAGGCAATTAAAAAAACGTGTGGCATTTGCCAAGGCCCACAGCCTGCTAAAAGGATGGACACTGGAAAAGTGGCAGAAGGTGGATTTCTCAGATGAATCCTCGGTTGAATTACATCACAGCCGCCGCAAATATTGCAGGAGACCTACTGGAGCCCGCATGAATCCAAGATTCACCCAGAAAACAGTTAAGTTTGGTGGCAGAAAAATCCTGGTCTGGGGTTCCATACAGTCTGGGGGTGTGCGAGACATTTGCAGGGTGGAAGGCAAATATCAATAACCTAAAATATCAAGAAGTATTAGCTCCTCTTACATTCCCAGCCATAAAAGGGGTCAAATTTTGCAGCAGGATGGTGCTCCATCGCATACTTCTATCTCTACATCAAAGTTTCTCAAGGTGAAGAAGATCAAGGTGGTCCAGGACTGGCCAGCCCAGTCACCAGACATGAACATCATTGAGCATGTCCGGGGTAGAATGAAAGAGAAAGTATGGAGGCAAAACCAAAGAATCTTGATGAACTCTGGGAGGCATGTAAGACGCTTTCTTTGCTATTCCTGATGACTTCATCAACAAATTGTATGAATCATTGTCGAACTGCATGGATGCGTCCTTCAAGCTCATGGAAGTCATACAAGATATTAAATATGGATCTCACAGCACCACTACTTAATTCACTGATGTTATGCAACATATTTTTGTATTTGAAGTAAATTATTTGTTCAATTTTCTGTAGGCGACAAAACTTTTGTCTTGCCAAAATCTGACCTTTCTGTGTTCATTAAATGATCAATCTTTCTTCAGTGAAGCAAATTTATTTTAGTATATTGAGCATAATTTGGGAGGGTTAAGCGACAAGACTTTTGTCAGGGACTGTAGGACTATATTTAAACCATACTCCCTACAACAGATAATACTCCCTACAACTGTACAACAACTCACTTTAATGTGACAGATAATACCCCCTATAACTGTACAACAACTCAGCCTTATGGAACAGATAATACTCCCTACAACTGTACTCAGCCTTATTGAACATAATAAGCCTATGTCCTGTCAGTCACTTTTTCATCTTTGCATTGGTTTCTTTACAACTTCTTGTATATAGCTGAGATATATTTGTATTACAGTATTTCTATATTTGATTGTGACTTGTACATATACATTTATATAATTTGCTTTATTTGACACCTGTCTCTTGTTATTTCTGCTACTTCTTTTGAATGAGTGACAGCACTGGGTGATCTTAAAAAAAAATAATAATAAAATTATGTATGTATGTATGTATGTATAGATCGGTGTGTGTTTATTTATGCGTGTATATATGTATGTATATATGTATAATATGTGTGTATATGTATGTGTATATGTGTGTATATATATGTATACATATATGTATGGGTGTATGTATGCATATATATGTGTATGTGTATATATGTGTGTACAGTACAAAATGGGGAAAAAAAGAAAATGTTTTGGTGTTAAAATTATATTTTGTTTGCATAATATGTAATTTATTTTTGCTATATGTAAATATTTGTTAAGTTCCATGATCAATATACAGAAGCAACCACATAAATTTTGAAACTATGTCATGAATAGGGGTGGGTTCATATAAGTTTTTCTTCTTCCCACTCCTTTTCGAGAAATGTGCTTTTCTGTTGTTTACAATGTATATGTAGTATATATGATTATTGTTTCTGTCTTGGCACGAACTCGAAATAAAAATCAATCAATCAATCAATGTATTATTACAATAGTTGAACAGTATATTGTGATGTGTTAGCTACTTCATCATTTCCTTTATGGATCAGTAAAGTTTGTCTAAGTCTCATTTCCAGTTTTCCTGATAAACCCCCTGATACATCACATGATAAGATAACCCTACCGCCAGCTGCTATTGTGTAACTCCAGGCCACAGAGGGCGAGAACTGAGGAGGGGAGGGCATCTGACACACAGGGATATGGGAGGACATCTACTACACCTCCCAACCTACTACCGTAGTACTCCCTCACAATACTGCATGAGCACATATATAGGCTGATATTTGCTCAGAGGGAGGAGTACATGTTGTTTAAGATAATATACCCCTGTAGTGTTCAAAGGAGCCAGAGTCATGTGAAGTACCCATCCCCAACACACCCACAAAACCGCAGTACTCTGAACCAAAGTACTCAGAACTAAAGTACTCAGAACTCAAGAATACACAGACAAGAGTGCATTCATAAATAATTGTGATAGGGAAATAATCATGACCTGTCCGTGTCCCCAGATGTGAGGTTCAAATCAAATAGATCAGAAATATTGTAATAATGATTCACCCTTAATGATTCAAACATTGGACACGAGGAAGAAATAGTTGATGTTCTTATTTGACTTTTGGTTTTAAACAATTATCTAGTCAGAAGGTAGAATGAGCCTGACAGGAGCTGCTCATGAATGCAGAACTTTCAAGCAGCTCTCTCCACGGCCGAGCACCAAAATAACATCTTTTACAGTTTTGGAGCCATGAAGCGTACTGTGAGGAGTCAGGACCAAACATGAGGAGTCAGAGTTTCAACTTTCTGCAGCTAAATCCTAAACCAAGTGAGACGTGCTCTGACTGTGTGACACTTCTGTTTATGATGCACTCTCAGTGTTGGGGAGTAACAGATTACATGTACCAGGGTTACGTAATCAGAGTACAAATTATGAGTAACTGTATTCGGTTACAGTTACTGTTTCAGTGAGTGGTAATTGGATTACAGTTACTTTGTTGAAATAAATGGATTACATGGTGGTATTTTCCTGTTTTCACATTTTGGGCTAAACCAGGACTAAACCAGGTCTAAACCAGGTCTAAACCAGGACTAAACCAGGACTAAACCAGGTATAAACCAGGGCTAAACCAGGTATAAACCAAGGCTAAACCAGGACTAAACCAGGTCTAAACCAGGGCTAAACCAGGTCTAAACCAGGTCTAAACCAGGTCTAAACCAGGGCTAAACCAGGGCTAAACCAGGTCTAAACCAGGTCTAAACCAGGGCTAAACCAGGGCTAAACCAGGGCTAAACCAGGTCTAAACCAGGGCTAAACCAGGGCTAAACCAGATCTAAACCAGGTCAAACCCAGGTATAAACCAGGGCTAAACCAGGTCTAAACCACATATAAACCAGGTATAAACCAGGGCTAAACCAGGACTAAACCAGGACTAAACCAGGTCTAAACCAGGTATAAACCAAGGCTAAACCAGGACTAAACCAGGGCTAAACCAGGTCTAAACCAGGTCTAAACCAGAGCTAAACCAGGACTAAACCAGGGCTAAAACCAGGTCTAAAACCAGGTCTAAACCAGGACTAAACCAGGTCTAAACCAGGACTAAACCAGGTCTAAACCAGGACTAAACCAGGTCTAAACCAGGTCTAAACCAGGGCTAAACCAGGCTAAACCAGGTCTAAACCAGGTATAAACCAGGGCTAAACCAGGACTAAACCAGGGCTAAACCAGGTCTAAACCAGGGCTAAACCAGGACTAAACCAGGACTAAACCAGGTCTAAACCAGGTATAAACCAGGGCTAAACCAGGGCTAAACCAGGGCTAAACCAGGACTAAACCAGGTCTAAACCAGGACTAAACCAGGTCTAAACCAGGCTAAACCAGAGCTAAACCAGGGCTAAACCAGGACTAAACCAGGGCTAAACCAGGACTAAACCAGGACTAAACCAGGTCTAAACCAGGTATAAACCAGGGCTAAACCAGGGCTAAACCAGGGCTAAACCAGGACTAAACCAGGGCTAAACCAGGTATAAACCAGGGCTAAACCAGGGCTAAACCAGGACTAAACCAGGACTAAACCAGGACTAAACCAGGCTAAACCAGAGCTAAACCAGGGCTAAACCAGGGCTAAACCAGGTATAAACCAGGTATAAACCAGGGCTAAACCAGGTCTAAACCAGGGCTAAACCAGGGCTAAACCAGGGCTAAACCAGGTCTAAACCAGGGCTAAACCAGGGCTAAACCAGGACTAAACCAGGTCTAAACCAGGTCTAAACCAGGACTAAACCAGGTATAAACCAGGGCTAAACCAGGTATAAACCAAGGCTAAACCAGGACTAAACCAGGGCTAAACCAGGGCTAAACCAGGTCTAAACCAGGTCTAAACCAGGGCTAA